AATTTTGTACTTAAAGAACCAATAAAAACATCAACAAACAAATACTAATAAAACATAGAATTAATATATGTAGTGAAAGTTAAGATCTAAGATTAAAGAAGTTGTGCGAGATTCTAAGGGATGGAAAGAAGGTTGGGTTGGGCCCAACCCGACTCGAAGTTGACTTCGGGTTGGGTTAGATTAGAGTTAGGGTTGGACTAGGGTTGCCTCAACCCGACCTAACCTAGCCTGACTTGCAGCCCTAGTCAACCTAATGCAAGTGTGGCAAAGGAAAAGAGAGACCTTGAGGGAATACTTGGCAATGTTCAATGCCGAAGCCCTTCAGGTCTGAATTCTAGACCAGTCGGTGGTCGTGACCACTATCATGAGTGGGCTGTGCTCCTCAATGTTCAGTTTCTCTTTGCAAAAGAATCCTTCACCCAACTTGATTGCGCTCATGAAGCACGCACAGAAGTATATGAACGCCAAGGAAGCCCAAGCACTACAAAGGAGTGAAGAAGACCAATATGATCGGAAGCGGAAGGACCATGATGAGCACAAATCCGATAGAGACAGCAAGAGATAGGGTTGCCGACCTAACTGCAGACCGAGGACCCCGCCGCCAACGTATAAGAACTTTACTCCCCTAAACACGTTGCGGGCTGAAATATTGATCTAAATACATGATCGCAACTTCATCAAGTGGCCCAAAAAAATGAAAACCCAAGGCAATAAGAGGAACCGGATCAAGTATTGCAATTTCCATCGAGACCACGACCACGACACCAAAAGCTGCCACGACCTTCGCCAGCACCTGGAAGACCTCATTCGATGCGGATACCTCCGTGGGTTCATCGATATCAAAGAGCATAAACCCATAGAAGAGTTGCACCTCACAAACGAGACCCCAACCCAAGCTCCCCCGGTCGGGGTCATCGTTGTCATCTCGGGTGGGACGACCCTTAAAGGGGGAAACTAGGTGCGAAAGATCTACTTTGAGCACTAATGGCAATTGGGCTGTACAAACGATCGGCGCCGAGCACTAACGACGACCGGGCTGTACAAACTCAATAAATAAAGAATTTTCTTCTAGCACAAACGACCAAACGCCCACACATAGTCCAGTTGAAACTTCAAATTGACCAATAGTCATAGTGTGACGGTAACCTCGTCAAAGACTCAGCTGACCTATAACGGTCAAGGCTCAACAACCATCGCACAAAAGACTCGACTGACCATAGATAGTCGAGGACAAAACAAGCCCCTGACGGGCACCGCAAGAACGACCTCCCCGCCACATAACGGCAAGAGTACGGTCATCGAACTTCGTGCACCCTCCCGACTCGCAGTTGGAGTAGAGCTAACCGAGGACCATAGCAGCCCAATCAAAGAGCGTTAAGCTTTCCAAGACCAAGTGCCACCGAGCTCCCCAGCAACGTTGAGAGCTTGGAAACACCTCGGCCAGCATAAGACCAAGGCCACAAAGCTAACAACCTCGACCAACGAGAATCAAGCCGAAGACCTTAGCCAACATAAGACTGAGGCCACAAAGTCGAAGACTTTAGCAAGCCCAGGACCTCGGCCAATATGAGGCCAAGGCCACGAAGTCAAAGACCCTGACCATCCAGCGTCAAGCCCAAGACTTTGACCAACATGAGATAGAGGCCACAGAGCCGAAGACCCAGCCACAACGTCAAGTCCGAAACTCCAATCAGCCTAAGAGCAAGTATAGAAGCACTGCATATGGACCCTATTGACCAACCTAATTCCTAAGCGGAGCAACTTAGAAGAAGAAACAACACAAAACGTGCTCGACAAAAAGACTAAAGTTCTATTACTCAAGTAGATGATACAATGATTATAAGCCTAGCATATTGACCTATGTACAAAAAAAAAAAAAGAAGAAAAGAGCACCAATTTAGACCAATTGTGCTATCCGTAGGGTTCACCTCCTCGAGGGTGGTCGTGCTGTCCTTCGGGCCAAACTGCTCAACTGGTGGTTCCTCACCATCAAAGGGACCATACTACTCTATGGACACGGTGATTTTAGGGTTCTCATGCATGGCCCTCCTTTGGTAGTGAGCAAAGTCGGTTTGCCAAGAGTTTGTAGCAAAATCATCGAGGGCAGTCTGGAACTCCTCGAACTCCTTATACTTGGAGACTGCCTCCTCATTGACGCGTAGTAGTTTTGCCTCCACCTCTTTGGCCGCCTTCCGTGCCTTGTTACGGTCCCCCTTGAAATCACGAGCACAGCTCTTCAGACACCACAACTCTTCGTCAATGGCCTTTTTCGCTTGCTTTAGCTTAGCCTTCTCCATCTACAAACAGGAAAACTCGACCTCCCGAGCCTCGGCCATCTGACGGAGAGCACGCACCCGGTGAACCAGTGTTGTCATCGCACAAACAACCTACAAAGGGAAAACATAAGTCAATGAGCACAACAAATCACACCGAAGAGCAGAAAAGGTAGTGCAAAGAGCCTTACCGCGACAAACTCCCTGATGGCTACACTCTCCAACACCCCGTTCATGCAGTCGCTAGTCTCCCTACGGATGTCGAGCAATAGAATGCCCCTAGCCAGTTGCTCGGGCACGCCTTTTTTTCCAGAGTGTCCTCTGGACAAACACTCTAGCCCGGCCTATACACCTCAGTTGCCAGACCCAGAGATGGGACCTCAAGACTTGTCCGTGGCGCGGGTCGTGGTGGAGACTTGTCAAAGCCGACATCCACCACATCTCCCTTAGTCGGCCTCAGTCTCTTATGCAAACAAGGGTTCACGACCTCAAGGCGACGTTGTTGCTTAGCCGCCACTCTCCTCTAAGCGACAGCCCGCATGCGTCTCACTTTCTCCTCCTCGTCAACGACCACCATATCTTCCAAATAGAACAAGTCTGTCAAAGCCGAATAAATGAAACAAGAATAAAGACACTTACAAAAGCAAGGACATACTAGCCTGGGGCTTCATCATCCCAACACGGATCAACATGGAGAATGTGATGTATACTCCTGCACGTCAACCCTCTCTATCCACCTGATGGCCGCTAACTCCCCCCTAGACAGGTCAGCCTCAGTCAGTGCCTTCACCTTGGTCCTTGGGATTGACAACTTGCCAGGGAACGACCAACCCCCCCCCTCCCCTGAGCAATGCACAAAGAATAACCCCTCCTTCTAGTGTTTCATCGAGGAGGGGGATTCAACAAGCAACTTATTGTGTTGCTGAGCCGAGAAGTAATAATAGCCATGTTGGTGCTTCTTCATGTGTAGGAAGAATGTGAACATCGATAGAGTGATGTCCGCGTTGTGAATCGAGCAGTAGCAAAGGAGGCTAACCAAGTATCTAAAGGAATTGGGCATCAGTTAGACTAGATAGACACAGTACCACCTCAGCACCGTTGTGATACCCTCCCTCAGAGAAAACATTATCCAGGCTATTAGGCTATGCTCATAGATGCAAAACTCCCCCTGCCGAGCTGAGGTATCCCTTTCACCAATGTCGGGGCACCTCAGCTCGTACTCCTCGGGAATGTAGTAAAGGGCCCTAATTTGGGCCAGGTCTCCGGGTGTCAACCAACAAGGCAAAGACACGAAGCGGCTACTGAACCGTGCAGGAACGCCAAGCCCCTCTTCTGACACAATCTCCACTTCGCCCTCGTTAGTCTCCCCGACCTCGACCTCTTGAAGGGCCGTAGCCTCCTCCGTCGTGGCACCCTCACCCTTAGGCCCGTCGACCATGGCCTCGTGGGCGTCGGTCTCACAGATCTCGTGCGTGGTGGCTTCAGGGTGAAGCCCTGGCTCGGACTCGCTATTAGACATACTACTAGACAAAGAGGAAGATGAAGACATCTTACCAAAGAACTACACCATGGAACACTTGAAAACACCAACCAAGGACTAACACTTGTCGAGCTCCTATGGTCGCTCACTCAAAATGGCAAAGTAAAATGGCTCACTGCCTCCCCTTTTATAAGGGGGACCAACGGTCCATATCGTCTCAAATCAACGACACTGATTCAATGCTGCACTTCGCATGCACATGACCTCAGGAAGAAGAAATGACGAGTCTGCCAACCCGTAACAAAAATGACACAAGTGTTGAACCAACTAGTCCGCCCTTACTCTAGGCTAGTCAACTTGAAGAAACTAAAGTTTCTTCGTCGAGGACCGTAGAACTTCCATTGGAACTGAGTTTTAAGGGAAATCTGATTGGTTCCCCATAGAGGATGCCCCACATGCACATCTTAACATGCATTGGGAGCATCTCCCGTACTTGTCATGGGAGATGTTCCGAATACACAAGTAAGATGATCTCGGTTTAAGGGAGGTAATTGTGATCTCTCTGGATGGACGACACGAGTCTGGATCTGCTACTCACAAAGTGTGCCTCATACCAATTTCATAGCAGAGATCACATCTCCTCCCTACAAGGGGCCACCCCACAATGCCCCACATCACATCCCCGTCGTGTATTGGGAATATCTCCCGATGATGACATCATCGGGACTAGTACTATCATCGGGAGATGTTCCCAATACATGACGGAGATGTGCTATGGGACATTGCGGGATGCAACATTTTTTAACCGCCATTGACCCAGACAGTCGGACCATTCGGCCCGGGAACCGTTCAAGCAACTAGTTTCGATTTACCCAAAACCTAGAATCTAATCAAAATCCATTAAAAAAGTCAACAAACTGTTGACCTTGGCAATCGAACCGTTGACTAATTGACTTGTTCAACGGTTTTGACCATTTTTTAATTTTTTTAATTTTACTGTCAGAACAAGCTATCTATTCAAACCAGATGATCGGATGATTGACCCAAAAAACAACAGAACGATTCCATTTCCGAGTCGTTTTTTAAAACGTTGAAGGGATGGCCCTTGTGGGGGCGGAGACGTGAACTCTTCACAGTATGTCCTGGCCGCATATCGTAAACATCTTCCGTACTTCGTATTTATTATTCATGGGAGATGTTCCGAATATAAGGCGGGAATTTTTCACTCACGGAGATAATCAAAGAACCTTTTTTTTTGTCCCGCGAGTCGTGATTCACACCAAGTGTCACCAACCATTAAGTAGAAGTGTAGAACATAGTGACGAGGGAGGTTGTCTAGCAGCATAGTTGCAGAAATCGGTGCTCGCCAAACGATTCAAACCATGACTTCAACTCCATATTCATCTTCCGAACAGATGGAGACCAAGCTTCAAAACCCCAGCCTTAGCCCAATCCCTAACCCTAGTTTCTCGTCCCCTGCAACACGCCTCTGGAGACCTGCTGCGCAGAGAAACCTCCGAAACCAATGGTCGAAATTGCTCTCTCACAAGCAACAATGGTACATGGCATCTTCGAGCGGGAGATCTCACGCAACCTCTCTCGTCAATGATTATCTCCGGCAGAGGTATTTGTACAACTTCTCGTCCGTTCTTTCTTCAACGTTCAGTTTATTTCTGTTTCTTTCTCTTCTCTTCCTGGATTTTAGTTCGGTCCGATAATTAGGTCTCATTTGGGGACTTGTTGAATTAGATACATGTCTGCAATGGATTTAGGTTGCTTAAGCGACATGCCCAATATTCGAAGAAAAGCTTGCCACAAATTGGCTCGTCAACAGGTAAGCTTCATCATCCAGATTGAAATTATTCGGACTGTTGTTTATGAGTTTGATTTGATTCGATTTTGTTAATATTGATTTTTGTATGTTACTTTTCTTATATCAATGTCCTAATTCGTCTTACGCTCGGCAGTAGGAATTTTTTTTGGTGGTTTATTTGTTGGAGATTTATAGTTTATACGCTAGCATTCAAACACAAATAGAATTCCTGACGTAACACTGTTGCAATGATGAACCCTTCATTTTAAACCAAACTAATCTATAACAGCATCCAGATTGGGTTGGCCCATCCAGATGGATGGAACCGCTTTTTGCAACAGTGTTACGTCAGTAAAGAACATCCTACTGCATACTCGAATGATGAACCCTTCATTTAAACCAAACTAATCTATAACAGCATCTAGATTGGGTTGGTCCATCTAGATGGATGGAACCACGTTTTTTCATCATCGAGGTGGATCTACCTCCTGATTTTGATGGAGGCAGAGTGTCGGATGTGTCACGCCAGGCTGTTCTGCTTCTTGAACTGGTTGGGCGGGATGCAGGGATGCTGCTAAGGATTTGGTTAGCCTATATTTTTGAATTCTGCTTCTGGCCTGTATATACGTTTTTACCTTGACTGGTGATATCTTGGCTATAAATTTAATCTCTGAGGTGGTAGATTTGGTTCTTGTAGTGTTTCCTAGGTGTTTATATAGGCTGTTTTTTTTTGGGGGGGGGGACTGTAATGTTTTTTTTTATAATATTATATTCTCATTGCTTCTTAATACCTTTGATATTCTTATGTTAAACGTGAATGCTTTTAATATTTAATGAATATTTACCATTACAACAACAAAAGGTTGTGATGTTATGCCACCTATAAGCATCCATGGCATTATAATGGTAGATCACTTGGTTGGCATGCATGTTAATGATAGCAATATTGGTTTCAAGAGCATGATGTTAACTTTGTCTCTGTCAAATACTGACAAGTCAATAAATCTTATATAGATGGCAAAGTAAAGGTGTACCAAGTTGTTCCTTAGATTTCTAATATGATATTGGTGTTACTTACTTCTCGTTAGATTCATATGCGTAGCTAACAATGTTTTTTTCACCGATTTTTTCATAGGAGATTCATGGGAGAAAGCTTCTATCATCTTACAAGGATATGGTATGTATGCTTAAAATGTATAAATAGTTGGGTTCAGAATGTTCATGTTTGCTTTTGAGTTATAGTGTATTTGAGGTAACAATAAGATCTTAGTGTCCATAACCACCAAAATTGGCAACCAATTCGTGCTTGGGAAGGCTAGTGCCCATAACCACCAAGAATTGTTGCCAACTTTGGTGGTTATGGGCTTTTGAATTTGGGTTTGTAAGGTTAGTTGAAATTTTGTGTTGACTGTGCTTATTTAAAAGCCTGTTAAAACTTAAAACTTATTGGGGATTCAAAAGTTCTATATTTGAAAAACAGTAACTTCTTGATTAAATTTATTGGTATTTCCGGGGTTCTAAAGTTGATGGCTTATGACCTTGAGCTGGTATGAATTTTCGGGGTGTTTAGAGTGGTTAGAACAATAATGTGTTGAAAGAAGCCCTATGGTTTCAGTCAGAAGTCCTAATTTCTTTATTTAATAATGAAGATGGCCAAATGAGCGATCCATCTGGTTGATGTACTGCTTCTTGTTGATATGATACAGGTGACTGCTGTGTCACACATGGCAAACACTTCTAGCTCCATGCGGTGTTTTCTTAAAGGACCAGCAAGTAGCCCGCTTGTACAATTTTCTAGTGCTTCAGAGGATAAGAATGACAATGGTGATGGTGGGGGAATTCCGGTCTTCAGATTTTGGTCAATTCCACATTTTGGTATAGTAGTATACTTAAATTTTAATGCTTCTGTGTTTCCCCTTGTTTCCAAGTTGTACAATTACAATGTGTTTGTTGGGTCTTGGCATCCATTATCTAATTCTTGCTCCTTGATTAGTAAGGACCTTGATACTAAGAATGAAGGTCACATTTCAATGTTTGTTACTTGGATGTAAACCTATCCAAGCAACAGATTTGAGGAGCCATTAAGTGGTGGTGACAAGAACAATAGACCATTATACAGATGGAATTGAGACCCATATGTTGTAAGTATCTAGACTTGAGCTTAAGAGGATCCACGGCTTTCAAGTAAGCAAAAGTGTCCTGGCTTAAGCATAGGTCAGCCTGCAATCTTGCGGGACCAAGGTCCATCCTCAGCAAGCCAAAGTTCTAAGCCCTTGTCAAGCTCAAGCCATCGTCAGACATGATGCCACAAATTGACATCACCTGCCAATTTATTTTCTATTTTGTGTTTGTACTTTGTACGTATCTGAGAGTACTTTCCATTTTAGTTGTGTGATGCATTTAATTCTTGTTCAAGTCCATTAGAAATTGGAACAGTTCTTAAATGTACTCTGCGTTTCTTAGTGGTAACAGATGAATTTTATTAATTATGAGGAAGGAATCAGTTATTACAACAAGTGCCAATCATCCCAATTTCACATCACTTAATTTCTTCATTTACATGTCTAGAATCTAGATTTACATTACCCCCCCCCCCCGGCTCACCCAAAGAAGCTGTTGTCTACTAACTCCTTGTTTTCTAGATCACCCACCATTGCATTAGCAGTTCTTGGTTGCCACTGACAGCTTAAGATGATATCCTTACCCAAGCCTTTTATCTCCCTCATGATGAATCAAAACTGCCACGTGACAAGTCTGTCATTCATTAGCCATCCCAGGACCACATTATCTCCTTTTAATCTAAAGACAAGGGACCTTACTAGCCTCATTTTTGAAGTACAGTCATGATTTATGCTCTCATTGAATTTTCATGGAATATGTGGCCTGAGTATAAGGTGCCTTCTATACTTGAGGGGCCAGGACTGCTCACACTGTAGCCATCAAAATTGAGTTTAACTGAATTTACTTGAAGTGGTAACCATTAAGAGCTAACCTTTGATATGGCTGTCAAAGAACTTGCCACCCAATACCACTGTCTTATTATATCATCAATGGAGATGGACTAAAGATGCTCATCGTTTTAACCCAATGAACTACCTTCACTGTAATGCCTTCAATAGAAGCATTTTTTAGCCGTTGCTTACCATTGAAAACCCTTTGGTTCCTTTCTTACCAAATAGACCAAACTATTGCTTCCCTTGTACTTCTCCATAGGATCTTGCCTCTTTTCTTGGGTGGATTAGAGGATGCGTTGAAAAGAGCTTCCAAGTCTGAAGGAGGCTTGGATCCACTCCCGAGTTCCAGCCACAAAAGACAGAAGATTAGTACATAGTATAGATTCTCCACAAGCAAGACATAGCATACGAATGTTTTGGGATAAGTAATCAAGAGGATAAGCCTCATAGTCCTACTCCCCATCCCCCTTCCTTAATACAACATTTTTTTTTTCCAGGAAAAAGAAGGCTTTGGGGTCAGTGGCTTTGTGAAGGTCTGAATAATGGTGGATTCTGTAGTTCTAAGAGCCTTAATATCCCTAGCCAATTGATGCTAGAAAACCTAAAATTTGCAAGTTTACCTGCTGCAAGAGAAGTTTAGCAAGGAGGCGCCTTTTGTTATGTTGTTGAAAATCAGATTTGGGACTGTAACCAAATTCTCAAAAACAACATTGAGAATTCTAAAGCATGTTGATGACTGTAACACAAGGGACTCTAGTTTATAGGATGCCCCTAGAGGCCACATGGGGACTGTAACCAAATCCTGAAGCATGTTGAAGCCAGAGAAAGCCCAAAACAGTGAAGTACTAAATGGGATACAATTTGAAAGAATTTGCATTAAGAAACAACTTTGAGAATTGCAACGAGCAAGCAATTAATTCAACAATCACCAGAGGATATCCACCTATTTATTGCCCCAGTATTGACTATCACAAGAAAAAGAGTATATGAACCACTTTCAAACTAGTATAAAAGAAATGCAGTTTCAGCATTATGGGATATCTTTGAAGGTAAAATAACTTGGCTTTTCTCCTTCACTTTTGAAACTGTTCTGTTGTCAAGGGTTGGTTGCCCTTTTAATATTTCATTACTTTATGGTGAAGGTTCAAGTGGTATCATGAAATTCTTTTTCTCTTTGAGAAAGTCACATGGTGGTTATTGTGAATTTTGAACTATTTCAGAAAATTTGGGGCAGGAGCTTGTTCAGATGTTCTCCCTGGAGCTAAGTTTCAAGGTAATGGCTAATTTGTTTTCTGTTGTCTGCAATAGACTAAATCGTTTATTGATCTTATACATGTGTCTTGTTGGGTTGGGCAGCGATTGCTTGTGGTTGAGTTACTCTCTGTTAGTTGTGAAGAAGTTCAACAACAAAGCACAGGACTGTGTTGGTCAGATGAGCTTTATCCAGGAGAATTCAATGAGTTGAGCATAAGCAACTTATATTCTGAAGAAACTCAAGAACCAGTTCTTCCTAGGATAAAGGGTTGGGAATCTAATACTCAAACTATACAATTTAACCATCACCCGGACCAAGAGATCTTACAGGTACGCCTTTTTATATTGAAATAATGTATTTTTTCCCGTCAAGCATAGTTGTCAAGGCAACAAGCCAACACCTAGGCAACAGGTGCCATGGAGGGTCTCCTTGCTTAAGCACCTAGCTATATTGTACATGGCACTATGATTTTTGTGTTTTTTGAGATTATAATAATAAAATACACAACTATTAAACTAAATTGTTAATTTTGTGGGTTATAGACTAGTTTCTTTTTACTATTTTCTTAGTTCTTAGGGTTCAATCAACACATGTCAGTTTGTGCTGTCTTAAACCCTTGAAGACTTCAAAACCTAAATGGATAAGCAAGAAAGAACTTAAAATTTTGTGTAATAATCTACTTCCACCGTTTCATTTCTCATTTTCCTAGACAAAAACAGGGGCCCAACCCTATATTTTCTGATTTTTTCTTCTTATTAATATGTTGATTTTCTATGTTTTAATATGAAGTTTACACTTCTTTGTAAAGATTATAGATAATTACTAGTGAAAAGTTTTTGAGAGAAGGTAACTTTCTATTCAAAAGGAATCAAACAGGGGGGGGGGATGAACATGAAGGATGTACAAAGAAACAGAAAACCCAAAAATTACAAGGTAAAGTATTTGCACTATACATTATAAAAAAAATTATCCACCCCTAATTTCGAAAGAGAAACAGCTAAAGCATTCAGCTCCCTTGGGGTCCATCTAAACAAGCAAGAGAGGTCTGAGGTCTCCTGGATCTCTCTTTCAGAAGATGATCAAATCTCCAGGGGCCCCTATCAAAGTTGGAAACCCAGCCAATGACATTCCTAGAATCACCTTCCACCAGCAGTGATCTTGCACCAAGAGACTTGGCAAACCTTAGATCAATGAGAAGGGCTCATGTTTCAGCTTCCTAAGAGTCTGCCAAACCAATGGTTGCTGGTTGCTGTGGAATTATCCTAGGGTTCATGTTTTTTTTTTAAATAATCAATCACCTACATGACTTGGTGACAAGGCACCCCCCCTTCTTGCCTTGAAAACTATGCCTTCAAGGCAATTAATTTCATGACATCTTGTGAAAATTAGAGGAAAATAGGGAAAACTAAATAGGAAAAATACATGAACAGAAAACTTCTGGCAAGTGTGAGAACATGGGTTCAAGTCTGAGAGCGGCCACTTTGTGCAAAAAATGCCAAATGTTAGGACTGCATCCAATCTTTCCCTCCCAAGACCCCAGATAGCTGGGACCAACATTGGGTAATGGGCTTTTACAGGAATGGAAACCATAACGACTAGATGTTAGGAAACAAACAGTTCATAATCTATATCTATGTGCATATGAAGGAGATTCAGATAGGTATGAGCTACCATTGTATTGGTCCAAGAGGAAATGCTGTTTGATTTAAAACAAATTCAATATCATACGATGATGATACGACTACTGCTTTTCATGGAAAGAAGTCCTGACTGAGGTCAATAAATTGAAGTAGAATTATCACATATTATCAGGTTGATTTTGGTCTAATTTCTTGAGTTGAAATTTGTTAGTCTGCTTGTACAATTGATTCACCTGCCTTATATTGATTATTATGCTGATTGTTGAAGATAATTACATAAGATGGGATCTTACGTTTTCCAAATTGGTCAATATGTAGAATTTTCATGCAGTGTGTACAACAAATTGGCAGTGTATACACCTTATTCTTAGGGCCATCAATGGATTGAGCAGACCCAGCTATCTATTATCATATTATCATGTTTGAATGTGTTTATTTTTTTAAAAAATGAGTAGGTTTATTACCAAATTACATATTAAAAATATATCTATCAATTATATGTTATAACCAGGTGTTCCCTCCCTCTTTATGGTAATGAACATCATACTTATAAAAATAATAACCGGGTTGTACTGGGTCGGACCTGATAATCCTGATTAATAATTGGGCCAGCTCTAGGTCTGAGTCTGCATTTTAAGCCTCGATTATAATAGGGTCATACTTGGTTTTACCTGTTCTGGTCCAATTAAGATCCAGACTGTGTAAATTATGGCAATAGGCCACAAGGGTATCAGTTACCCTCCCTTAACTTGGGTAAATCACTTACCCATCTGGTGAACCACATCGGTAAGCGCTCTTGCCCTCTCAGCTCTCTCTTTACCCGGGCAACTGTTAAGTGTACAAAAAAGCTGGAAGCATGCTTACCCAGGCACTGGGAAACACTTGCCCGGGTAAACGCACTTACCCAGGCAAGTAAAAACAAGCAATGCCTCAAAGAATTTGAAGCCCGGAATGTTGTGATTTATGATTTGATCAAAAGTTTGAATTTTCAGAATAAGAAACTGATACAGATGCCCTGGTTCCAACACGTCTCCTGGGAGGAATAGAATGCATCTCATGATTAATATCTATGTCAGTTATATGAAGGTTCTGTACCTATAACAGTTTTTTATTAGCAGCCATACTTTTGACTTTTAAATATGTATTGATTGATAAAAATTAACTGCAGAGCTCAAAATGATTGACATACTGCACCACAACCACAAATTCATTCAGAGTCCACTTTACCCACCGGAAAGAAAATAATACTCTAATGCTCACTTCTAGCAAATTTTACCAAGGAAGTTACGTTGAAATTTTTTGAAGCCTTGTGGATGGACTGTTTTCTGTTGCGGAATTTTTATTTGGTTGCTATCCTCATTTTTTGAACGTCAGTTTACAGACAACTAGCACAGCTCTAGCTATTTGGTTGCTATCCAAAATCATTAACTTTTACCGTCTGAGCGAGTTTTTGATAATTTCTTGTAAGCCTAGGAATTAACTAACTAGACTTCCACCGTTATTATTTTCCTTTGACCAATAAAAAATCCTTCGCTTTCATCATTTCTGATTTTTGAATCCTTGAGTTGCAGGTCTATCTAACAGCATGGCTAGCCGAGGTGAACATAGATACTCAAAGGTAAACAAAGAAAATGGAATGGTTAAAGAAAGTAGAGAAGACAGGGACTTTATAAAAATATCTATGGCGTCAAGGTGCTAGAAGATTTCTTCCCAAAATCAATTACAAAAATCATATTAATCTAGATTTCATCCCAACATCAATTTTGAAAACTTAATCATATTAATCTGCCTTAAGGCAAATTATGTTGTAGAAATTCTGTTAAGAGTAATTCTGTTTGTTTTTGCTCCCACTTGCAGGGTGGGTGATATATTTTCCATGGTTGGAGAAGAAATGCATGTTAACCTTTCGTGAAGCTTTCCTTAAAGCAAAAGATAAAAGGGATCACATTGTTTCAGTGAGGGGTTGTGGAGGTTGTGGATAACGATGGAAGGAAATAAATTTGATTTTATTTAATTTTGCATCGCTTCGGTGTTCTTCCAAATCGTGACTTGTTGCACCAGTATGCAAAAGTGGTGCTAGTGAGCTGTGTTTTTGGGCACACCCCATGGTTTCAGCCATATGCCTGAGCTCAAGTCTAACATGGAATGACCAATAGTACATTCTCCACTATGTTCATATCCTATTCATGGTACATACTAGGAGGGAGGTTTGAGGCTGAAGTTGCAGAGGCGCTTTGGAACTCGAAGAGCTTCAAGCTGATTTGTCGGCACCTAGTGATCGTCCATAGATCACAAGAGGGCCGTGAATCCCACAATTTCGCCAGGAAACCGTGGAGGACTTCCCAATGGGACTGCATCAAGGATTATGATGCTCAACCCAGTTCAAGTCGCCATGGTTTATTGATTACCAGGCAATTGGATACCATTTGTCTTTTGGTGGCAGTATTTTTAATGACAGCAATGAGCCAGGGCAGAGACCTCGACGGATAACCAACGCTATGACACTGGCCCGAGCAAGGTAAAACACCTCTTCTTTGCTCAAAGCCTCGAACTGAGGCTTGAATGAGCAGGAGATGAGAGATCACTTGAAGATCGCTGATGGGAATACTGGTTTCTGTGGTACAACTGATACTGTTAGGCTCTGCAAGTTTTTCATGGAGCGAGCTGCTGGTGTCTATATAGAACAGTCTTCAGCAGACAGGAAAGGATATGTTTTCATTCAAGTAACTAAGTATATCAATATTATTGTTGCAACGAGGCTGCAGTTTTGAGTTTTGACAAAAGGGGTTGTTGGACCTATGTAGGTATCTCTTGCTTTTGTTGTCGTGACTAATGATCACTGTGGGAGAAAATTTTGGTTGTTCATGTTCGACAGCTGCCCACAGGGGTCTCACTGCATGACACATTAGTCCACATGAATTCCATCATTTTTCCATGTGATAGTGTAATGGTAGATTGGTAGTAGATGCATGTCTGTGTGGACTAACGCGTAAAAAGAATGGTCACCTAATTTGTAGGTTCGTTTGGTTTAAAACCTGTTCGTAATTTGTCTTTTTTTTACTAGAAAACTTAGTTGACATGAAAGGCTGTTTAAATTGAGAACAATCTGCTGCAACCACAATCGTATCACTCACCCCCAATGAAACACAGACAGGTCAGTGATGGAGAGAAATTTAGAACATTACGACGCACTGCTTTTTAATTTGGAAAAATTACAGGGAAGGGCGCTGTACTTTGGGGGTCGCAACAAGCCCGAACTTTTACATGTACTGAGCTACCTTCTTGTGCATTCTAGATATTTGTATTTATACACCTTCCGAACTGAGTCTAAGGTTGTGTTTGGTTGTAGTGCAAATTTTTGCACTGATGCAAAATTAAGATAGTGCAAATGGTTTGGATGCAAATTCTGATTTATTTTTGTTTCAAAATTTACCTTAATTTATTTGATTAATAAGATCTGAAATAGAGTTCTGGCCCTTTTTTTATGTTCTCATAAAATATCTATATGAAAAACTTGTGCTGAAGAAATAAGAGTTCTGGCCTTTTGAATTACGTAATCGCATCATGTTGATATTTTAAATTAAGGAAAAACTATGATGCCAGAAAGACATGAAAGGGCTTTGATCAATCACCACCCCCCTTTTAATTTTGACGAAAACCTGCCTCATTGAATTTATTTAAATAGTCAATGAGAGACACCCGTGATGTGGGAAAGGTTTGACCGTATGAATTGATTAGAGAGAAAACCAGAAGAAAAAGAAAAATAAAGAAACTCGATCTTGATTATACCCAATTTTCGTCCGTCAAGGTCATATCAAAGTGGGCTTGAAAATTGGAAGTTTAACCGACTCGTTAGCATCCCAATCCCTAGTTGCTTACCGGAAGGCTGTGTTTGGTTTGAAAAAGGGGTGTCGTGTCTCCTTGATCCATACCTTCTTCCCCTTCCTTTCCCTACTCTCCTACTTTTTCTTACAAGCCGAAGGCTTGAAGGCAAGGCTATCCCACGATAGCCTCTCACCAAAAAAAAACACAGAAAGGTATTTTAACAGTAACCTCATACGTGATAAACAGTAGTTCGCGCCTCCATGACGGTGGTATTCACAAGTAGTAGCTTACTGCACGAATGCAGGCATTCACAATAAGGTTCTGGTGAACGTCTTAGAGGATGAAACATGGATTGTCAATGAGCTTAAGACGCATATATAGATTGGAAGTCTATATTCTATAAATGCATCTAAATAGGCCTAGCACATGATATAGGAAAACAGCAAGATCATGCAAAAGCTAAATTCTTTGCACATTGTGATTTTAGGCAAAGCAAGCTGCCATACTTCAATCTTGATTGCAACAGTCAAAAGGCTAGATAAAAAAAATAAATAAATACATAAGCAAAGAAGCAACGAAATGGTCCGGTAATTCAGTTCCTAAATGGCAAATACAGTATTTGTTCTAATCTATCAAATTTCAAATGTACAATTTGCTAATGATCCAAACAAGCTAGAGAGACAGAGAGAGAGAGAGAGATCAAACATAACTTGCCAAAGGTAATTTTTAACCTTGTTTGCCAGGACGAGTAGGTCCCAAGTAGTTTGTCACCAATCCCATAATAGCAAACCTGCATAGTTCAATAATCACAAGAAAGAAATTATTATCACACTTATCAAGTCAATATCACCATTTGTTACCAAGAAAAATGTGTAATATGCTTCAATCAGTGTGCTGCTAAACATTTTAATCTTAGCGACTTGGCACTTTAGCAGCTAATGCATATACGGAGATGAGTTAACCTCAGATTTTGATGTCAACTCAAATTCCACCTTTAGGAACTTTGTATGCACAATTATGACAACAAACAACCAATTTAAAGTCCACCTTTACATCATGTGATAAAAGATGTCTTTTCCATCTGCAGCAGGGGTGTGGGTGTAAATCCATTCTTTTTCCTTACTAATGGCATTTAGAACTACAACTTGAGGTATAAAGTTGAAGAAGAGAACTTAGTGCCTTTACTTTCTTCAAAGTGAACAGAATTAGATTTTGAGGGTTCTAGCTCTTATATCTTGGCAAAGAAGTTAAGTTCAATTAAAGATGTTCTTAAATCTGGGAAGCAGGAATTTAGAGATCAGTCGGAATCTGAAAAGAAAAAGTGCCCCGAACCGATCAAAGAAATAGACTTGGCTGAGGAGAATGGTCAATTACTTGAAGAAGATAGGAAGAAAAGGTCTGAAGCAAAACAGGTACTTGATAACCTAGCATATAGGGATGAGATGAAATGGAGGCAAAGATAAAAAATCAGCTGGTTGAAGGCTGGGGATAGAAACTCCGGCTTCTTTCACAAGATGGTAAATGCAAGGAAAAGAATCAATCATAATGAAAAATTGGAGTTTGAAGGCCAGGTGGTTGAATCTTGGACTGAATTAAAAAACATAGCAACCCGCTACTTCTCAGATTTGTTCAAGGAGACCTCTCCCTCTAGATCTGCCTTTCAATAAACTATCAGCAGCACAACAAAGAGAGTTAGAAGCTCCATTTTCAGAGGAAGAAGTATGGCAAGTGATTAAAAATCTGGAAGTGGATAAGTCACCAGGACCGGATGGTCTCACAAACATTTTTTATAAGAAGTGTTAGGAGGTAATTAAAGTGGACCTTCTTAAAGTGTTTCAGGAGTTCCATTCTAAGGCTTCCCTTGAGAGAAGTCTGAATGTTACTTTCATATCTCTGATTCTGAAGGTGGAAGGAGCTACAAATACGAGGGAATTCAGACCTATAAGCTTATTGAACAGCTTCTATAAAATCCTGGCCAAAGTTCTGGCTGAAAGAATGCAGAAGGTTGATAAAAGAAAAATGAAGAAGGCCCTAAACTCGGTAATTGCCAAATGCCAAGAATTAATTCACTTTTGTGCTGGAAAGACAAATGTTGGACAGTGTTCTAGTGGCAAATGAACTGATTGATTCAAGGAAAAGAGAAGGAAAACCTGGGCTGCTGTGCAAGTTAGACTTGGAAAAGGCCTATGATCACTTGAATCGGAGATGCTTGGATTTTGTAATGAAAAGAATGAATTTTGGGCAAAAATGGAGAAACTGGATTTAAGTATGCACCACTTCTCCAAAATTTTCAGTCTTGGTTAATGGTTAGTCGGTTGGCTTCTTCAAGAGTTCTAGAGGCCTTCGGCAAGGATATCCCCTCTCTCCTCTTCTATTCATTTGTGTGACGGAGGTTCTCTGTCTTTGTGAGTAGGGTGGGAGAGGAGGGTCTTTGGCAAGGTTTTGAAGTGACTCCGGGTGGAAAAAAGGTGCAGTTGCTTCAATTTGCTTATGACACCCTATGCTTCATTGATGCTAACTTGGAGCAATTGGGTGTGCTTCTTGAGGTGTTGTGCTGGTTTGAAGTAGTCTCAGGCCTGAAAGTCGACTGGGTCAAGAGCAGGTTAATTCCAGTGGGAAAGGTAGAAAATATAGAAAACCTTGCAGAGGTGCTTGCCTGCCAAGTTAGTTTCCTTCCAACTACTTATCTTGGTCTCCCTTTAGGAGCTAAATGTACCTCATCTCTGATTTGGGGGCCAGTGGTGGAGAGTTAGAAAGGAAATTGGCAGGTTGGAAGACCAAATATCTTACTTTGGGGGGAAGAATTACTCTACTCAAGAGTGTATTATCAAATCTTCCTTCCTATTTTCTGTCTCTTTTTCCAATGCCAAGAAAAGTAGCCCAAAGAGTGTAAATTTGCGGAGGGATTTTTTAGGGAAAGGGTGGGAAGAAGAGAAGAAAACTCACTTGGTTAGCTGGGATCAAGTTTGTGCTCCAAAAGGCAAAGGTGGACTAGGGATCAGAAAAATGAAGTGTTGAGGGCCCGAGAATAGGATCTCGTCACGGGTCGGTCCACGGGGAAAACCTCCTGTTTTCCCTTGTTCCTTCCTGCTCTTGATGAACCTATCTTGGCRCCTTGGTGATTTGTTCAAGAGATCACCAACTCTCCTAACTCACTTATTTAACTGAATATTCGATATCTTCATTCAATAATGGTGTCTCCTTAAATAGGAGATTACAAGAGTCCTAATCTTAGGGAGTCTCCTTGCTGAATAGGGAGACTTCCAGTTCTATCTTGCTAAGGATAAGATAAGTTAATCCTAATCTGATAATCCACTAATAAGATAAGATAAGAGCAATAGAATAAGATAAGAACAATAAGATAAGAGCAAGATGATCTAATCTAATCTGGATGAGACTGTTGTTGCCGAATGGGTAGGCTGAGAATCACTGCTGCTGCCGGCGGTGGGTCAGGTTCCTGCTGCTGCCGGCGGCGATGATACTTCTTCCCGAGGAATGCGTCCATAACATTACTCCCCTCTTGGACTAAGAGCTTGTCCTCAAGCTCGAACTCCGGATACCGCCAATGGAATCCAGGTGACTTTGGCCGATGGTAAGCTACCCCATTCCACCAAGACTTCAAGAATTCCTCAATTGAAACGAGAGCGGGTGAGAGCCTTAGGCTGGGGAACAAGTTTGCCATCTTTCAAGGGTGGCAGGGAGGGGACTTGGTCTGGAGGAACACCGTAAATGGTTTCAGCAAGGAGATGTGGAAAACATCATGAATCCGACTGTTCTCCGGCAATTCCAGTTGGTAGGCCACACTGCCAATCCGCCGTAGAACCTTGAAGGGCCCATAGAACTTAGGGGCCAATTTTGGGGCAGCCCTGTGGCGCAAGGAGCGTTGCCGGTAGGGCTGGAGTTTTAACTAAACAAATTGTCCTGGTTCGAACGACAGTTCCCGGTGGTGCTTGTCATAGTTGAGCTTCATGCGGAGCTGGGCTTGTTGTAAGCGAAGGTGGACGTCGGCTAGGAGGGCGTCGCGTTCTTGTAAGGAGTGATCAATTTCTTCCAAACGAGTAGAGCCGGGCTCATAGGACAGCAAGCGAGGAGTGTCCCGGCCATAAACGACGCGAAAGGGAGTCATGCCGAGGGAAGAATGGTAGGTCGTGTTGTAACAGTACTCGGCCCAAGGAAGCCAATCCACCCACCGTCGCGGTTGATCCCCTATGAAGCAACGGAGATACATCTCGATCGTGCGGTTGGCCACCTCCGTCTGACCGTCGGTCTGTGGATGATAAGCTGAGGAGAAAGCCAGGGTGGTGTCGTGCAGCCGAAATAACTCCTTCCAGAAGGCACTCGTGATAACCAGGTCCCTATCGCTGACGATGGATTCTGGTAACCCATGTAAGCGAAAAACATGTGTAAAGAAGGCGAGGGCAACTGAAGTGGCACTGTACGGATGTGATAGAGGAATGAAGTGGGCATATTTAGAGAAGCGGTCTACTACCACGAAGAGGACCAATTTGCCACCTACCTTGGGAAGTCCCTCAATGAAGTCCATGGAGATGTCGGCCTAGATCTGTGTCGGGATCGAAAGGGGCTGAAGGAGGCCTGGCAGGTGTAGGTTTTCCCAATTATGCTGTTGGCACATGGAGCAATTCTGGACAAAATCCCGAATAGAAGTCTTCATACCTCGCCAATGGAAATCAACCCGGACGCGGTGTAGCGTTTTCTTAACGCCTTCATGGGTGGAGTTATGGATGCTGGTGATGATGGCGGAAATCAACGGGGAGTCCTGCGGAAGATGTACCTGGCCTTTATATAGTACCAACCCGACCTAAAGCGACCAATTGGAGTCAGCAGCCCAGACTGGATCTTCTGGACCAGGAGCGACCATTCCAGAGACTGTGGCGTTGCCTTCTTAATGTCGTCTAACAGAGAGATCCGGGGTTGGGAAATTCCACACAGAGCCATCGCGTCTTCATCTCGCATAGACAAGGCATCAGCTGTGCGATTTGAGGATCCCGCCTTGTATTCCACCCGGAAATCAAACCCGAGTAGTTTGCTAACCCAATGCTGCTGAGAGGAAGTGGTGAGACATTGAGGTTGTAATGATCAGTTTTGACGACGAACGACCGCCCCCACAAATACGGCCTCCAGTGCTGGACGGCTCTGGCCAGGCCGATTAGCTCATGCTCATAGGCTGGAAGCTTCAGATGCCGATCGGCCAGTCTGCGGCTGAAGAAAGCAATCGGGTGCCCTTGCTGCTGTAACACGGCCCCGATACCCATTTCAGAGGCATCGCACTCGACTATAAATTCGAGAGCGAAATTTGGTAATTGCAGGACTGGGGTGGAAGACAGGGCGTCTCTTAGTGTTAGAAAAGTTGCATCGGTTGCGTCGGCCCACCAGAAGGAATTTTTCTTTAACAGGTTGGTTAACAAGGCAGCCAACAGTCCATAATTCTGTACAAATTTTCGGTAGTAACCCGTTAATCCGAGGAACCCGCGTAAGGCCTTGGCTGATTGAGGCTTGGGCCATTCCTTGATAGCTTGAATTTTGGAACTGTTGACCGTCACACCTTGCCCGTTATGACGTGGCTGAGATAAAGAACCTATCGCTCCCCGAAGGAGCACTTGGACCGTTTGAGGAAGAGTTTGTGTTGGCGCAAAAGCTCGAAAACGGTCCGCAGATGGTGCACATGCTCTACCCATGATTTGCTATAAACGAGGATGTCATCAAAGAAGACTAAAACAAATTTGCGCAGATGGGGCTGAAATACCTCGTTCATCAATGACTGGAATGTGGATGGGGCGTTGGAGAGACCGAATGGCACGACTAAAAATTCGAAGTGGCCATGGTGGGTTCGAAAGGCAGTTTTCTTCACATCTCCAGGAGCCATGCGAACCTGGAAATACCCGGACCTGAGGTCCAACTTAGAGAAGTACTGAGCACCATGCGGCTCGTCCAGTAGTTCGTCCACAACGGGAATAGGGAACTTATCCTTGATTGTTCGGTCGTTGAGCTCTTTGTAGTCAACACAGAACCTCCAAGTTCCATCCTGCTTCGCCACCAACAGAACCGGCAAAGAGAAAGGGAGTGACTCTTGCGTATGATCCCTTGTTTCAGCATCTCTGTACATTGTTTTTCTATCTCGTCCTTCTGTAGGTGAGTGTAGCGATAAGGCCGGACAACGACTGGTTCCGAACCCACCACCAAAGGAATTCGATGGTCACATGCTCGGGGAGGAGGGAGTCCCTTGGGTTTCTGGAATATATCTAAAAACTCGGCGAGGAGTCTTTCCATGGCCACCGGTTCTGTCTGAAGTGCATGGACCTATGGTGTCTTCTCTTTAACCGTGCCACGAAACTTGTTTCCCATTTAGGTGGAATGTCATTGTGAGTGTGCTGAAGTCCCATAAAATCGGGCCTAGGGTAATTAACCATTTGACCCCAAGAACAATATTGAATCCATCCAAGGAGAGTACAAATAAATCAGCAAAAAACAGTTCATAATTGACCTGTATCGGGATGTTCTTACAAATTCCCGGACTGTGGACTCTTTCACCGTTTGCGACAGCTACCGAAGTTCCATTGGTAGTTTTAACTGAAGGGCGGCATGTTCACTTATGAAGTTGTGTGTGCTCCCTGAATTGACGAGAATGCGCACCGGTTAACCTGCTATCTGTGCTTGTAATTGCATGGTCAGAGAGGTTTTAATACCGGTGATCGCATGGAGAGAGATCTCTGGCTCGAATACGACGGGTTCTTCTTCATCATCCTCTTGCTCATCGACTAGGAGGCAAAAAAGCCTCTTGCACCTATGTCCTGCCGAGTAGAGGTCATCGCATTTGAAACATTGGCCTCTCGCTCGGCGTTCTGCCATTTCTGCCCTGGTCAAACGCTTAATGGGTGGGGCAACCATGTTGCTACCTGCACTTGTCATCGACCTAGAGGTGGTGGTTGTGTGAGGTCTCAGTTCCCTGCTGGTTGCAGAAGAGGGGGTCGTCGTCGCTGATTTTGGGGGTGCCCATGAGTTCGGTGGGCGACCCACATTGTAGATCCCGCGATTGAGTTGCAGCTTGCGCTTGAACGCGCAGGCTAAGTTCATGGTTGTAACCAAATTTGGGGGATTCTGCATTTCGACATCCACCCGCAGGGGTTCTGCTAACCCTGCCGTGAACATGTCCACCTGCTGGTCCGGTCGCACTGAGGATGCCCTTGCAAGGAGGGTTTGGAACTGGCGCTGGTATTCTGCGACCGTTCCAGTCTGTTTAAGGTTAATCAGCTCGCCTAGGGGGTTGCTGGTCAGTGGGGGTCCTAACCTAAGAAGGCAATAGGACTTAAACTAGGGCCAACCGAGCCTGGGTTCTTCTTGCTCTTATCGAAGAACCAAAGTTGTGCTTCCTATGTTAAGTGAAAGGCGGCTAGACTTACCTTATCCTGGTCGTCTGTCTGTTGATTCCGGAAAAACTACTCGCACCGATACAGCCAGCCTAAGGGGTCTTCGTTGCCGTTGTACGACGGAAATTCTAACCTGCTGTACTTGGGGATGAGTGCGGCTCCTTGGCTAACGGACTGCTGTTCGCCGAAAGACTCCGGCAGATCTGGTCGGCGGCCGCTAGTGGTTGTCCCCCCTTCAGTGTTCCTTTCCTTGCTAGAAAGGAATAACTCCATCAAACGCCGCAGCTCCTGTACTTCATCTTTGATCTCACGTACTTCGGAACTGGTCTCCACGAGTTGGTGCTCGAGGTCGTGGACCCTGGATGGCAGTTGATCCAGATCTCCCATGACGCCTTGCTCTGATACCAAGTTGTCGAGGGCCCGAGAATAGGATCTCGTCACGGGTCGGTTCATGGGGAAAACCTCCTGTTTTCCCTTGTTCCTTCCTGCTCTTGATGAACCTATCTTGGCRCCTTGGTGATTTGTTCAAGAGATCACCAACTCTCCTAACTCACTTATTTAACTGAATATTCGATATCTTCATTCAATAATGGTGTCTCCTTAAATAGGAGATTACAAGAGTCCTAATCTTAGGGAGTCTCCTTGCTGAATAGGGAGACTTCCAGTTCTATCTTGCTAAGGATAAGATAAGTTAATCCTAATCTGATAATCCACTAATAAGATAAGATAAGAGCAATAGAATAAGATAAGAACAATAAGAAAAGAGCAAGATGATCTAATCTAATATGGATGAGACTGTTGTTGCCGAACTGGGTAGGCTGAGAATCATTGAATCACTGCTGCTGCCGGCGGTGGGTCAGGTTCCTGCTGCTGCCGGCGGCGATGATACTTCTTCCCGAGGAATGCGTCCATAACATGAAGGTCTTCAATAAGGCTCTTCTAGGGAAATGGATTTGGAGATTTGGCAGAGAAAGAGGAAGCTGGTGGAGGAGATTAATTGCAAGCAAGTATAATCCAGACAATGGGGACTGGTTACTACCAATTCCTTGATCTCTCTTGGGTGCTCGATTTGGAAGAAAATCATGGAAGTCTTCCCTTTATCGAGTAATGGTCTTTTGGTAAAGTTGGGGAATGGCCGAAGGATTAGGTTCTAGAAGTATGTAAGGTGCACTAATAGACCCCTTGCTGAGGTGTTCCCTCAGCTGTTCCAAATGGCAGAAAACCAAGAAGCCTTGGTTGCTGACTGCTACAAGATTAGAGACAACACTTGTCTTTGGGGCTTCTCTTTCAGAAGGCATTTCCAGGACTGGGAACTAGATCAAGTCTCAGGGCTGTTGGAGATGCTATCTACTCAGTCTCTGGATTTTCAGAAGAAGATTCTTGGATTTAGTCTTGAAGCAAAATGGTCTGTTTTCTGTTACTTTGTTTGCCAGGATCATTTCAACTTATCAAGGTGCTGATTTCCCTGGTGATAAAGTTTGGAACCATACTGTCCCTTCAAAGCCTAATGCTTTGATCTGGGCTGTGGCTCTGGATAAGTGCCTTACCAAGAAGAATCTGGAGAGGAGAGGTATGCAGCTGCAGGATTATTCTTGTGTGTTATGAAACCAAGGGGAGGAGGACAGCAGCCACCTATTTCTGCATTGTCCTATCTCCAGCAAAATCTGGAACCACTTCTCTAGACAGCTACCTTGGGCCATGCCTGCAACTGTTCTGGATCTCCTGTGGTGCTGGGACCAGAGAGGCTTATCTAAGTCAGGAAAAATTGTCTGGCTCTCAATTCCTGAGGCTGTAATTAGCACCATTTGGGCTGAAAGAAACAAAAGAATTTTCCAGGATAAGCACAACACTGTGGATCAACTGTTGTCCTGTACTGTTGGAAAACTAATCTCTTGGAATGCTGTAGCTTTAGGGGTTCAACCAAGGGTTTTGGGAGCCCAGCTGATTGCTGGCAGTTTCTTTTTTGATCAGTAATAAATAAAAGTTGGGGTGCAACACGAGGATGCTGGCAGTTTCTAACTGTAATATTTTCTGGCTTCTTGGTCCCCGGATTTATGGTTTTGGGGCCTCTTGTATTCTGTAATCTGGTTCTGTTCTAATAAAATTTACTTCACATTCTTCAAAAAAAAAAAAAAAAGAAAGAAATTGCTGAATAATAAGGAAGGCTCTGCATGATGCCCAAGAGGGGGCATAAGCTTTAAAAGAAGAATCTTTGATCAGGTTTCCTTCTTGCTATATCATGATACTGGTTTTGAATTCTTTGTTATTATAATCAACCACCACCAGCGATCAGCACCATCTAAGCCCTGTCCCAAGTATATGGGATCAGCTACATGAATCCTCTATGTCATTCTATCCTGTTCTGTGGCATATACACCACTAGCATTATATACCTGCTCATTAATCCTTTCCGCCATTCTGTCCTGTTCAGTGGCATATACATTACTAGACTTTCTGTTAACGTTTAGTCTTTATTTGTTTCTACATCTAGATGTTCTTACTCTCAAGAAACACAACTATATTAGTTATTTATACATTTTCTTGGATATATAAACATTTTCACAATACCAGATTGCTATTCCTTCCACCTTATGAACTTGGATCTTCAGGCTCTTGCTCAGAGTAACTACTTTGCAATAATGCCTAAAGAAAACAAGAAGTGCATGTGAAACCGAGCCTTATGAACTTGGATCATCTGTTGCCTAACCGAGCCTCATTGCCTTGATAACCATGGAGCCAATCTCAGTTCCTCCCACTCACATATAGCAATACATTCTACTTATGTAATAATAACAAGAAGTGCATGTGAAAGAAGATATAGATAGACAAACTAAATGAAAGTTTATCAGCAATCAATTAACCATGACATAAATGAGTAATGAAGAAACAGAAAAATTAGTTGAACATCTGCAAACAAATCAAGAACCAAAATGGCATATTTTTTTTTACTAGTCAAAGAACAATTCTAACAGATAACAGTACTCATAAAAAAAAAAAAAAAAAAAATCTAACAGATTACAATAAGAAATGGAATATTGCAAATCCAACACTGGTTAGTTGAAGATGGATCTAGTGGTAAATATTGCAAATCCAACAAACCATACTCTAGGAATAGTTCTACTTACATCATGGCCATGGATATCTGTTTGAGATCAGTTTCGATATTCTTCATGTTTGCAAGCGACTGGGCACAGAATATTATAGCAAGCCATGAACTAAGTTTATACTGCCAAAAGACAAAAAAAAATTAGGAGCTATAGTTCAATCATCTAGAAAAAGCACCATCCTAGGGTACAAAAACACTTTTTTATGAATTTATTGTTTTTCTTTCATCTTTGGTCACCAATAAATTTGTTATTATGTCTAAGCGACCAAGATGTTGGAAAATGAAAAGGTCCATTGATTAAAAAATCAGGAAAACTGAAGAGTTTCAAGAATCCAGATACGAGAAGGTCAAGAATTGTAGTTAACAAGAAGAACCTCTGTTTATGGCATTTAATGGTAGAAATGTCCAGAGTGGTTCTTGAGTGCTGTAGAAAGGTGTGAGCATGGGGCATCCAGGACAACAAGAGATAACAAGAAAAAAAAGAGAGCAACACAACATAGAGAAAGCAATTTTATGTGAAGAAAATAGTTTAGTGCTGAAGTTCTTCTCTAAATAAATTATTAAGTTATTGGAGGATTTGGAGCTCATACCAACTTGAAAATTTTCCGTTGTATTTCTTAGTTTTTTAAATATAGTAAATATGTTGGTTTTGTACAACATTTGCATTTCTGTGCGGCTCTACCCAGTTTCAATTACATATTTGGAAAACTTGTTTCCTTCTTGAACTTGTAATTTTGCTCCTGGACAACAGCCTTTATAATGCCAACAAAGTGGTATCAGATCCATCTTACAAAACCAATACAAGATAAGTGGCCCAGAAACGATTAAACTGAACACCAAGTTCCATGACTCCGTGCTTGAAAAAATAAACAAAAACAAACAAACGAATTCAAGACCCAATAACACATTTGTTAACTAATAGAATACCGGGCCAGTATATACATAGGAAAATCTCGACCCAGGAAAAATATGGAAAGATCCATAATAAATAAAAAAATTAAATAATATCTAAGCCTGAACTTCAAAAGTAAGAATTGGTTCACATTTTCTAGGTAGTCTGACTTGCTTCCCTTTGCCTTAAAAACACATTGAGTGCCCCTAAATCAAATCTCCATAATAAATAAAGGTCTTAAGTAACAAAACAACAATTGTGGCCAAATACAATTAGCTCAAAAATAAAGTTGGTGATAAAAAATTGAAAAAAAAAAACAAAACAAAACAAGAAATTAAATTGTGTCCAAGTAAGTTGATTAACAATAACTTTTTTTAAGTTTAGCAATTCTTGGCTTACTAGGCTTAAAAATTATGAAGAATTTGGTGACTACCTTTAAATCACTACCATCACAAAAAAAGGTTAGCTCAGTAAGACAGTACTATTATATTCTAAAAGAATAGACCAAATGCCGATAGATCTAATTGAACAAATTCAGACAGACGAAACAACATAGTCTTAATAGGATACGAATATCTTCGAATTTATGAAGAAACCAAAACAGAAATTATAGTTCACCAGAAACGCACATCTCACTGATTCATAGACAAAAAAGTAACGAAAAGACGTGAACAGAGAAGAAAATCATCGGTCCAAGTCTAAAGATATCAGGACAAAGATTTATTCAAATTCATCTATTTTTAGTAGGAAAAATAAAAAAGAAAAAGTGACTATTATTCATAGAGACGCGCATTGGAGATGGATTACAGACCCTGAACATGACCCCGGAAACACCCAATACGACAGCAATGAAGCCCGAATAATCGATCGGCATGTCTTGCGGAGCTATAACCGGAGGTACATACGGCTTCGCCGTCGACGGCTGCCGTGGATCATTCGCAGACGAGGAGTTATTATGCGAAGACATCTTTCTTTCTTTCTTTCTCTTCCCTGCTGCCCACGCACGCGAAGCGACTCACAGACGAGAAAGCAAAAGGGCGACTTCAAACTTCCAGTTGTGTGAAGTCCGGATCATATATACTTCTATCAACATTCCAATTTCCAAATTCCAACAAAAGGTACAGCACTTGGCCAGATCCAACCCGAGCTCGGACCGACCTATTAAAATTAATAAATATCGGTCATGGGTTTTAATCGGATCGGATGCATCAAATCCGAATCCAATCGAATTAGTAATGTAATATTCAAATCCGATCTGATGATATAAATACATCATCCGAATTATATCAAATTTTAATGTAGACTAATTGATTATATAATACGATCGGATTATATAAATACATCATTCCAATTTTAACGTGGACTAATTTGATTTAACTTGAGCCTAACTCAAGCCTGAATCCATCCTAATTACATAAAATTTTAATACGAGCCGGATAATTTAGGCTTAATCTTGGGCACGGGCCAAGCTCTTATGTTGGAAGTTTTATTGATAGCAAATCTGAACTTGAATTAGTGAAGGATTGTTCCTGGGGCACGCACGAAGTATGAATAATATTTGGTTGATGGCTGATGGACAATGCTTTCTAATGGTTTTGTCAATATAGAAAAATCTCCCCAGGGATTTTAGCTTTATCTATTTTTGTGATACGTGGGACAAAGCTACCCGTTTTATATACCTCCTATTTGTTCATTAGGCTGCGTTCGGTTGTAATGCAAATATAATTACGTATACTATATATTTATCTATTCTTCGGTTTATGAATATAAATATAATACCTTGATTCGGCATGATATCTTGATTCGGCGTTTGTATTGCAAATAAACGGCTATATATATATATATATATATATATGGCATAAGCAAACTCATTGCCAAGTGAACGTTGGCTAGGCTAGCCCGATGTTCACCTTAATTTTTGGCCAGATTGGGTGGGGCAATTCTACCGGTGTGAAATTGTCTTACACTATGATCACAAGCCTGGATCAAGGAGGAGAGTTGTATTATGTTGGTAATTAGCACTAAAACTTTAATCAAACCTTCAAGAATATATAAATCCCGAATAAAAGAAGTTATAATGACAAGAATACCCCTGCCACTAATATGAGAAAAAAAAAAAACTGGCACACCTAGCTAAAGTCAGAAAAATAACATCAATAATAGATAAACAAATGGGACCACAAGCTAATCAGCCCTTTTCTCTACACACTATACAAAGAAGTGCTTTCAACTCCAATTTAACTAGAGAGTAAGTGAAGGAATTAACAGCCCTCAAAATCTATTTATAAGAGCAAAAATATTTGCAGAGATCTCATGGATCTCATTGAGGAAGTGGGCAAGTCCCCAAGGCCCACCCTCACCTCCTCAAGCGTTGAAGTTCAACCAATAAGCAATAATTCAATAGTCTTATCAATCAATACTCTTCCTGTAAAATTCTAGTTAATTCAACCAAAAATCAACTCAAGCAAATACAGTGAAAAGGAGAAAACTCAAGTCAAACTCAACAAAGTCCTCAACTCCTCAAGCCTTGGAAACTTCTTTTCCCCAATCTGTCTTGTCGACATGAATGGCTACTTTGAGCAAAGATGCAGGGTTGCACTCTTCAGTGTTCCACCATTCTCAAGCAGGGTGGATGCAAACAAACACGGGAGACTGTCCAAACTTCTTTTCCAACTTCTCCTCAGATATCACAGTTGATTTAATTTTGAACTCTCAATCCCTGCATATAGAAATTGCAATGAAAAAAAAAAAACAAAACCAATAGTAAATAACAAAGAATGGGCCTAATAGCTGGCAGAATCGCATCCTAAAGAACCAGAACTGCCAGGATTTGCAAACTTTATTGATAAAGATGATTTTATCAATAAAGATTGCATAGCTGAAATGGATTCATAGGACTTCAAAATTTGAGATGCATAATTCCACTTGAATTGCAACAGAAGTTGGCTCATAACCAAACAGAACCAGTTGGCAACCTTTAAAAACTTTGTACATGATTTACAATCCAGTACTTATTTTACAATTTGGTGCACCCTAGTCATTTTTAAAGGCATCCAACAATACCAAGTCATCAATTTGGTTGACCTTTTGCCAAGTTGGAGAATTATCCAATCCCCAGCAAAGTTGAGCTTGCACCAAAAAAAAAATATAATAATAATAATAAAACAAAGTTGATCTGAATGTGTGGATATATGATTATAACTGTATCAGCAAGTTTCTAAAAATTTTGAAGGGATAACGAGTAAAGAAGAATCTAAATACAAACTTTAATCATCACATAACAATCAAATTTCAGATTCCATAGGACATCAAACAAGACATTTTTTTAGTACCTTCAGATTTCGAGAACCCCTTTTCTTCTCAGACTCGGGCTTAGTGGTCTTCTTCCTCTTTCCAGAACAGCAGCATGCACAGAAGCACCACTTTGACCAACAATTGCAGGTCCTTGTTGGTGGCTTCTGTCTTTGGAGCATCATAACCATAGAGCATGGTTTTTAAAACCGACCCGGAAAGTGAAACGGTCAGGGGTCCGGTTACCAGGTCGAACGGCTGGCCCATTCTGACCAAAAAATAAAAAAATGAAAACCGGTCAAAATCGTTCGAACGGTCAGCAGTTTTCTGACCAAAATCAACAGTTTTTATGGAAAATCCGGTTTGGAAAAAAACTGGTTCCGTTTTTTTCGTTTTTTCCGGTCTGACCCTCCGGTCCGGTTCTGAAAACTATGCCATAGAGCGCCTGCCTTCTAAATACACACCCAGTCCCCACATATATGGGCCCTTGTATCCCATCTAGACCTTTCATGTTAATCTGGTACAAGAAACTTATCCATTAGATTCTTAATGGAAACAATAAGCCTGTTGAGAATATAAATAGTAGATTACAGAAGCAACTTATAAGAATGGAGAACAACATGCTTACATAAAAAAAAAAATAAAATAAAAAATAGAACATTTCAGTTGGCATATCGGTCATGCCTATCAATACCATCAAACCTTTGTGGGAATTGCACATAGCACACTTTGTTTCCCATCAATGGATCCATCATGAAACACATTGCCTCCCTGAGAGCTTTGCTGTTATTGATGTAGTGATCACAATCCAAGTTCAATAGATATGGTGCATTTGTCAGCACAGCCGAGACTCTGACCTGTTTATAAAAAACAACCAGCAAATAAAGAATTACAATCTTTTGTTTCTGACAGGAATTCACAGAGACAAGAAATTGCTCATTTGACACTCACCAAAGCATTCATAGCACCAGCCCGTTTATGGTGAGTAAATCCCGGCCTCTTTTCTCTGGAGACATAAACTAGGCAAGATAGTTCATTTCCTTCAGTGTCATGCCCTCCACTTTGGCCTAGAAACACCTGGAGTGGACCACAGAAGAAGCATTAGAACCAGATCAGTTCTTAGAAAGGATATTAATAACAGAACATTTTTGTACCTGAATCAAGCCAGGATGATCTCGGACAATATTTCCAGGCCATGGAGTCCCATCTTGCATTGTCCAATCTTCTGAGCAAAATACCACTCAGGTGCTCGTGGCTCAATATTTAACTTTTTGCAGAAAGGACAAACTCAGATGTTTCAGACAATGCTTCAAATATCAGCATAGCAGCACCATCATCTGAAACGTAGCAAGAAACCTTTTCTACAGGGTAGTCAACAGCAAGAATGGATAGAACGGTGTTTGCAGTAACCAGAGGGCGTTCTTTTAATGGGTCTATTGTACTCGCAAATATATCTACTGCAGAGAGTTGAGAAGGTTGCAGAGAGTTGAGAGTTGAGAAGGATAGAACGGTGTTTCCGGTCCCAACGGTCTGACCGTCTAGGTCAATGACGGTTCGAAAACATTGCTTTGGTATATCCATTTTTTGAAGAAACATCCAAATTTTTCCTCTCTTTTCCTTGATTAGTAATTCATCTCTTATGCAATGATTAAATGGCCATGGATTTGCCTACCAACAAAAAAAAAGAAAAAGATATACATTCAGGCCATGTTTGGTTCAACTCTCATTCTTTCTCAATCTTACCTAAGATGAAATTATAAAATTAATAAAAATGGGCATAAATGAGAAAGTATTGCTATGAACCAAACACTTTTTTCCTAAAATATGTTTTTTTTTCCCAAACTTGCAAGTGCCCTATTTTAATCATTTTCATTCTTCAAAAAAAATATATATATCTATGCCATCAATCATAAAATGTCAGCCTATGTCTCCAAAACCATTGGTATAGATATTTACTAGCTGATGGTTGATGGTCAATGTCCGTCTGCCAATAAACATCTATGACGATAGTTTTGTAGACCTAGGCTGACAGTTTACGATCATTAGCAGAGTTTCTTTGAATAATGAAAATAAACAAGATGGGCCATGATCATTTTTCATGTTAAAGGTTACTTCAATTTTTTATGTTATAGACAGATTTTTCATTCTAAAAAGAATGAGACCCATGGCAAAAAATTTGTAACCAAACACTCTAATACTGTTCATTATTGCCCATATGAACAAGAATAAAAAGGAATAAGGCCTAGGGGTGTAAGCGGTATTCAAAAATCTGATTTCGAATTCGATATTCAACATAATCGAATCAAATTCGGATAATTTGAATATCTAATCGGTCAAATTTGGATATCCTATTCATACCGAATAGCCGATCGGATTCGAATTCGGATATGAGTTGATTTGATTCGATAAATATCCAAATTCGACCGATTATTTAATTCTTATATAAAATATTATATATAATTTATATATTTATATACTTGTTATCAATAAAATATTTATTTTGTATATTTATTAATTATCTAAAATAATTAATTAATCAAATTCGATTCAAATATTTGAATATTCAAATATTTAATCGGATTCAAATTTGGATATTAATTTTTAATATCAATCAAATATCAAATCGAATTCGGATATCAGATTTTATAATTAAATTTGAATTCAGATATTACCTGACCCGATTCGAATTCGATTCGTTTATACCCCCTAAATTAAGGCCCAAAGCAGAGAACCAAACATGGAATTCATATGAAAACCCTTAATATATGCATTTACTCAACTGAATTCTTTATAAATATTAAGTGGGAGGGTTTTTGTGACATGGCTTTTCTGGCATTCTGAACTGTGCCTCACACAAGCTGTGTTTGGTGAAAATCCGGAAAGCCAATATTATTAATGTTTAAGAATACTACCGTAAACTGAAACTATCACAGGTAAATGTATCCAGATTTCAGAACATAGATGCAGCTCAACCAGTAAATCAAGGCAACTAGCTCCCAATGCATAAACCGTCCCAAACGGGTTCTAACATGGCCCAGCTGAAGCAACTCATAAGCCAAGCCCGGCCCTCGTAATTCAGGCCTAGCAATTAGCACCAACAAAACTAAAGATAGGATCCTTATTAGATATCTGTTGGGCCAAGAAAAGAAAAGAATGACATGGCCTCCTACTCCTACATACATTGGATTGGGAGTTGAGAGTTGGGACGGCAAATTACGTAGCCCGAGAGCACCTTAAACTACCACCCAATGAGATAGCACTTTTAGTAAAGATCCGCCACGCTCAAAATGTAAAAACCCTACCCACCTCAGACTTCTGACTTCTCTGTCATCACTTCAAACCTAAACAACAGAAGAGAAGAAAACAATGAATCAAGCTTTAACCTTGCCATTTGCTACTACCATTATCCATGAACTCTCCTCGTACTAACCACAGATAGATTGATAGATTAAAAAGAGAGTTCGTCGTTGAAAATGGCGATGCTGACTAGAAGCAGAACCTTCTTTAAAACCCTAATTCCTAACACCTTCAGGACAATTTCCACGTTCACCTTCCTCTGCCAAGAGCCTCAACTTGCAGAACCATCGATCTCGGATTCGACTCCATTGCCTCCAAATCCATCCTCGGGCAGCCCCCTGTACCAGCAGAACTGGAGGAACCCCATCCCCAATTCAGTACTGGATCAGTCTCTTGTCCCTCTTGACTTTCTTCACCAGACACCATCTTCGAAGATCCAATCCCTGTCTCGGACGCTCGATGTTCAGAGCCTCATGAATGTTTTTGCTGATTGGATGACTTCCCGGCGATGGGCTGACATGAAACAGCTGTTCGAGTTCTGGATCAGGTCTCTCGACAGGAATGGAAAGCCCAATAGACCTGATGTTAACTTGTACAATCACTACTTGAGGGCGAACTTGGAAAATGGTGCAACTGCAGGGGAGCTTCTCGATCTGGTGGCACAAATGGAAGATTATATGGTTGTACCAAACACGGCGTCTTTTAATCTGGTGTTGAAGGCGATGTATCAGGCGAAGGAGACTGTGGCAGCGGAGAAATTGCTAGAACGGTATGCAATGAATTCTTTTTCTGTCACTTATTTCTTCCATTGTCTCTGACTGCATGCTGTATATGCCATTTGCTACTAAAAATGATACTTATTTACTCCTTTAGAGAGTCGGCAGTATTGAATGGTGAATGCTCTATTTCGTATCTATTGATCTTGAAATGACGTCTAATGGGATATTATTTTTCCGGTCGTGGTTGTTTAAAAGTGATCAAGAGTAGGTGTTTTATTGCATMTTTCAAACTGTGCTTTGATCAAATTATCAAAACAAAAAACTATGCTTTAATCAGTTAATTTAACATGCATTTGTTTTTAATTTTCCCTTTGCAAATCCTTGAAACCTGTTTCTTAGGCCTACCTATTTTTTCTTAAGATGTCGATCAAATGTTAATCAAACTTATTTTCTCCATATTCCAAGGTCGTCCTTGAATCTATTACCCCTCATATAGTGCATTCAACTGGGAGGTTGACCATAAAAAGGTTAATACATGCTATTATGCCTTAGAGGATTGGAGAGTGGATAATTTCTCTATACATATTCCTTGTCTTTGTCTAGCAAGGAACTGCTGAATACATGATATTACACGTTTTCTGTTTTGTTGCATTTTTTAGTGTTCTATATTTTTTTGAAGAACCTCGGATATATGCTAGACTTTGTGCAGAAATGAGCTCTCCTTCATTGAAAGGGGCAAATTTGTGGACATGTTGCTATCCTGCCAGTTTATTAAGCATATGCTAGGATCATTTTTATTCCAATCAAAGATGTTATTGAACATGATGTCTGCTAGGGTGGCTTATTGAGATTTTACATTTTTACCATGAACATTTTCAAATATGATTTTTGTTGAATTGTTGGCAACATGTTTATTGACTGTGGTGTCACTGAAACCAATTAATTCCTTATAACAATTCAATATGCTTTGTTTTTTTTTTTTTTGAGAAAAAAGCATACTTGGTATTCCCTGAATTTAAATAGCATACTCAGTTTTGACAGGTTTTCAGGAGGAAACCTGAGGCCCTCTTGTTTAGAGGAGTGGCAGAGATAATTTGGGTATGAATCGTATGATCCTCTTTTTCCGTGGGGCTTGCAATAGAAGATTGATCTAACGATCTACAGATCTAGCTGAACCAAGTACCTTACTATAGGAATTGAGATTGGTATCTTATATTGGTTGTGCCATTGGATGGTGGTTCATTTGTAACATTGGGTTGAATACTCCCTGAGTTCCTGATTGAATATCTTGTTCCATCACACACTAACTCAGCAACCATTTGTCATCTCTTTAGCGGTTAGAGGAGTTCAAAGAGATGGACCTTATTTTTAGGCCTTATATTCTGTTGCAGGCTTGCAGTGTTTTACTTACATTTGTCAAAATAAAAAGAAAAGAGAAATCTCTAGAGAATATGCAGTTGAGACTTGCCCAATTGGTCCATTGCCTAACCTTCAAAACTGCCTCTGATCATTTGCCTTAAGTGGTCCTACATGCAAGGCTTTGCAGAACAGGTAAGGTGAAAGTGCTTCTTCTTGCCAATGCCACCCCTCCCCCCAAAATAGGTCTTACTTTATTATGGCTCATAGTTGGGTGAGATGCCATTTTTGGACACTTTTCTCATTTGTATTCCTATTTTTGTCTGAGCTTTTTGATGTTAAACAAATGTAATACTAATTGCTCTTGTGACGTTAAATTTCAAATGTGTACATTATTTTTGAAAATATGTATATATGAGATCATGAATTCTTGATTTGTGATTGATGGGTCTTGTTGATATCAGGATGTTGCAGGCAGGAAAAGAATCTCTGCCCAATGAAGAATCATATGAGTTGATTACTGGGATGTTTTTCTTAACGAATCAGATTGATGCTGCCCTAAAATACTTAGATATGACTTTAAAATCTGGCTATATGGTATCTATGAGGGTATTTACTGAATGTGTATGGAGTTGCGTTAATGCAGGAAGGTTGGATACCTTGGCATCCATAATAGAGAGGTGCAAGGTACAATGTTGAGTGACTAGTTGTTACATTTTTTTTTATGTACATCTATTTGGTGTTTATGATCATACACTTTTTGTTATTTTCTTTCTCCTTACTTTAACTGCCGCATGTGGATATCAGGCAATGGATCAAAATAAAGCTCTTTGTCCAAGCTGGAACCTGTGTAACTACATTGCAGATGTTGCAATGCAAGCAGATAACAGCAAATTGGCTTTTTATGCTTTGGAATTTCTGGCTAAGTGGATTGCTCGCGGAGAGAATGCAAGACCACCTGTTCTTCTCTCTGTTGATGAAGGACTGGTTGTTTCAGCACTTGGAACTGCTGCTAGAACCTATAGTGCTACTCTAGTTGATGCATCATGGGCCATCCTGCGGCGGTCCTTGCGTCAAAAGAAGGCACCCAATTCAGAATCTTACCTTGGGAAGATATATGCATATGCATCATTGGGAAACCTCCAAAGGGCTTTTAGTACCCTGCACGAATTTGAATCTGCTTATGGGAATTCTACTAAAGCATCAGATCAGGATATGTTCTCTCCATTTACTTCTTTATATCCATTAGTTGTGGCATCCTCCAAGAATGGTTTTGAGACTCTGGACTCAGTATGTGCTTCTTGACCTAGTGCAAACTTTTGTCAAGTTGAGCGTTTATTTAGGTGCTTCCTGTGTTTTTGTTTTTTTTTTTTTTTTGAAATCATCTTAAGAATTACATGGATTGTTGAGTTGCACCATATGTTCACGGGAATTGGATTCTGCACCATTGGCATTAGTGGCTTGGGAAGTGCATGTACCTGGATGCAGTGTGGGTTTTTTGAAATCATCTTAAGAATTACATGGATTGTTGAGTTGCACCATATGTTCACGGGAAATTGGATTCTGCACCATTGGCATTAGTGGCTTKGGAAGTGCATGTACCTGGATGCAGTGTGGGTTTTTTGAAATCATCTTAAGAATTACATGGATTGTTGAGTTGCACCATATGTTCACGGGAATTGGATTCTGCACCATTGGCATTAGTGGCTTGGGAAGTGCATGTACTTGGATGCAGTGTGGGTTTTTGTGTACTATCTGCAGTGTTTCAGGTGCACAATGTTCCAGTCTAAAAACTAATTTGTGGTCTTTGAGTCTTTCCATTGGTATTCCTTTTTTCCCCAATCAAGTAAATGATTTAGTAAAGCATTGTCAAGATCTTTTTCTCTAGGCATTATCTTAGATGGAGAAAATATGTCTACTAAGGGATTATACGGACTTATAACCTATTTTTCAATGAATTGCAGTGTCATCACAGATATTGGACAATTGTCATGCAGCCATTTAGCACTTGCCATTTAGAATTTTTATTTGTTAAGAGAACAAAAGTGCCAAGGTTTTTTTTTTCACAAATACTTGAAATGCTAGACTAATAAATTTTCCATGGGATAACAAAGGATTTTTTTTTTTTTTACTTATTAATCTACCTCTTAAGTTTAACACGTATTCTACTTATTATGAGAATGTACAGTTTCTTTTTTTTTTTTTTTAATTAGCATTTCGGTATGAAATCACTTTTGTGATATCAATCAGAAAGAAATGAGTTTGTCCCCCCTCCCCCCCCATTTTTTCTCTCAGGTGTATTTCCAATTGGAGAATTTGAGCCATGCAGATCCTCCTTACAAATCTGTTGCTACTCTTAACTGTATTATATTGGGTTGTGCAAACATATGGGACCTTGATCGGGCCTACCAGACATTTGAAGCTATCAGTGCAATATTTGGCTTGACACCCAATATCCATTCATACAATGCTTTGATGCATGCATTTGGGAAGCTCAAAAAGGTAGCTCAGCATTGGAGTACATTTTTTTTTTTATATTTAATGCACTCCCAGAGAAAAACTGATATTTCCACATGTGAATATTTTCATTGAAATTGAACATGTCTTTACCATGACAGACATTTGAAGCTTCAAGGGTGTTTGAGCATTTAGCAAGCTTGGGCGTGAAACCAAATGCAACATCATATTCCTTATTGGTAGATGCTCATCTAATTAACCGTGATGCCAAGGCTGCTCTCTCTGTGATTGATGAGATGGTAAATTCTTTAGATGTTACAAGACGGCTTACATTAGTAGGTACATGTTGCATGGGTCCAACAATCTTAACTGTGCTCTGTGCTACAATATCTGGGCAGGTTAATGCAGGTTTTGTACCATCCAGAGAGACACTAAAGAAGATTAGAAGGCGATGTATGAGAGAATTTGACTATGAGAGTGATGATCAGGTGGAATCCCTCTCTAGGAAGTTTAAGATCCGAATGGGCACAGAGAATCGTAGGGGCATGCTATTCAATCTTCAGTACAGCACCGAATACCCCTAAGAGGTAAATTTTTAATTCACAGGTATCTGCATCAAATCAGAAAGGTAGCCCAAATATCTTGCATGGCATATAAAATTGTTCATAATACATCATTCAGTCCTGCCTGGGCCAAAAATCAATCTATGATGCTAAAGAAAATTCTTTTGACTGCCATATAAAATTTTTCTGAACAAGAGGTGAGAGGTGAGGCTTAGAATCACCCATCCCTGTCAGAATTTCGGCTTTAGAATTCTTGCCTGTACAATAGGTTGCTAGGTTGTGCGTGTCCTCATTTATGCACAAACTGGGTAACTGCTTTCCTTCCAATAAGGATGCGTAAGAAACCACTTTTATCTCCATCAACTGATCATATGCAGAATATGAATTCCTTCCACTTGTAATGTCTGGTTGTATGTTTAATTGCAGTTGATGCTTCAGAATTTTTTGCCATTAGCTCGCTTTACTGCGCTAAAGGACTGCTCTCAGATTAGTGTTTCTTTGATGAAGTAAGTTTATTATCCTTCTACCTGTCTCCAGGGAACTACAATCCCCGTTTGTAAATTTACTAACTGTACTCTATCTGAGAGATCCATGGGGAAGAGTCTAGATTTATACCCTCTTGTTATCATACTTTACTGTTCTTTTGTCTTGTTTATCTTCTTCTTTTTAGGCATATTCAGACGGAACTCAAGTGTTGATCAATTGTTAGTGGCTAGCTTTCCTTGATTTTGATGAAAAAGAAATGTAGGGCTTTGCAATTTGCAAATAATTAAGAAAATTGTCTACACATCTTTCATGAACTGTTTTGTATTGTCCTTGTTCTTGTTAGATGGTAATGTTCAACTCACATTATGTATGGATCTATTCCTGCACCACTTGAAGTCGTACTTTCTTTAGCTCGTATAAGAATGCAATTGTGAAAAAAAAAATAGCTATATGTCAAATCTGGAAGATTTCGTAGGTAAGTGGATGATCATTACAGTGTAGGCTAACAGAGTTAAGTGAATAAACGTGTCTAGTGAGAAGAGGTGCCAAATGGCTCTGATCATATAACCGCATTAAAATTGTATACTATGTTTTTTGTGTGTAGGGATCTGCTACCAACTAAACGCTCCAAACATCTTTGCCATTCATGAAGAGATGTTCCCATTGTGTGACTGTAAGTCTGTAATGACTAGTTGGGACTTGGGATAGTGTTGGTAGCAGATCTGAACTCGGTTTTGGTAAATGCATGAAAGTTGTACACAGACAGGTATCAGGAAAATATGAGCCCGGATCTCCTACAAGCAAAAACTCAGCATATGCTATCTAGCTGTACATTTGGGATATTTCCCAATGAATTTAACATATATGTAGGAAAAATACTCTCAATATGCGTTTGGATGCTATGCTATGTGTTCAGAGTTTTTGTTTGCAGGGGATTTACCTCCCAAGGTTCTGTGTTAGGTTTGACCAAGCGAATTTAGTTATGGACAATTAGAAAAGCATCCCCAAAGCACGGCTACAGTTGAAAGTTGAAATTGCGAGTTTGGTTGTTAAACTTGCAGCAAGATTGATGATGCATGTTGAAACTGATAGATTAAGATTAGATGATCTGGTTTTGTTTCATCGGATTCTGACCAAGAATTGTGACTTACATGTTGCCCATGCATCATGATTTTTTGGCCAGCCGTCATCCTGGAAGCACACCCTAGTACTAATCCATCTGTGCAATCTTAGCTAATGCTGAGTTTGGAAGTACAAATACAAATATGTAGTGTAAAACCTTGTATTTTATATTATTTTGTACGTGTTTTCACTGTGCATATTTTATATTTGTACTCTTTCTAAATTGAGATTAATTATCCATTTTCATGGAGTTGATACATTTAAAGGTGGCTCACTGGCTGAAATCCTTGAACCTATTCACAGTTTTCTTCTTGGATGACTTGTTGAGAAATTGGTTAGAGATAACTAATTCTGCCCAAATTAATAAGGTTTCTTCTCCCTCTTGGACCTCCTCCTCTCCCCTTCGATTCATAAAGCTGAATTTTGATGGCAATAGTTTAATGAATCCAGGGGCCCATGGCTCTTTGGTATAGGGGGAGTGTTCACTGTTCAGGAATGAGGAAAAACTTATTATAGCCATGTTCTCAGGCACCTTATTAGCGCTGAGATCCTTGTGGCTATGAAAGGTGCCCAAAGAGCTAGGGAGTTGAGAAAAACGGTTATTGAAGGTAACTCAGAGGTGGTGGTGAGATGGCCAAAGGAAGATAACTCTTATATGAAACTACTCAACTACAACAATGAAAAGAAAAGGTTTATATGGCTGACTAGGGACATTAAGGTAAAATACAGATGAGTAAAGAGAACTGCTGTTACTGAAAAAAATATCTATTTTCATGAAGGCCGATATGAACCATATGGTCATATTTAGGCAATTATTTAATCGGAGCGCAAAATTATCCATATCTTCTTTTTTTTCTCGGTAATACTTCTTCTATCATCGATTGTAATTTCAAATGAAAATTAGAATTAATCCTAGTTCATAAAATTAAGGCAAAGTCAATGAAGCACTGTTCAGACGTTTTTTGAAATGAAATTATTCAATTGTGCTTTTTCTCTCTTTGGTATTATTACATACTATACATTACGGGAGAACAGCAATTCGGTTGAGTCATACTTTCTACACAAAGTTCACTGTTTTTCGCTTGTTGCCAACAAAATATTGAATTGAGACAAGTTTAGAAATGAACATCTTTTATAATTTCCTTGATTTTAATTGCAACAGCACAAGTCAAAAAATTTCTACCGTTTCAAGTAAGGTTCAAAGTATCGTTACGTATCGGCCAATACGTATTATTTTAGGTCTCTTCCGATACGCTCTTACAGTGGATGTATTGGGGGGTTTGACTGGTTCAGGGGATGGAGGGGTCTTAGACCGACTCTCCTGAACCAGTTTTGAAAAAAATAAATAAATAAATAAAAGTAAAATAACAAGTATTGAAACGCCCGATACACCCCTACCGGCGTATTGGGCGTATTGATATTTTGAACCTTGGTTTCAAGTGCTGGAAAATCATGTTGACACTTGACAGTTCCAAGATCTTGTGCCTTGTTTTTTTTTTTCGACTGATTCAAATGAACCAGGTTCTGAGAAAATTTTTGCCATTCGGCAACACTAGCCCAACACATGAAACCAACTCAAACGAAAGCTGAGATGTAAAAACCAACCAACGAGTCAGACGTAAAGGTAATGTTGCTTATCTCAGTCCTCATTTTCTTCCTGAAAGTTCGAATGCTTATGCCCATGAAAGAAAATGACGATCATGAGACCAAACACCAAAGCTGTTATTTCTTTTTTATAAGAGAAACAGAATGGAAATCAAAATTTAAGTGATCCCACCTTACATCTTAGGATTTTTTTTTATTGGCCCCCAATAAAATACAGGATTCTTCAAGTCAGTAGGATTGAAGTCGATGAACATGGTACTCTTACGAGTCAGTAGTTGTAGCAGCCTTCTGCAATTGACCAAGCCAATTTGTGAGTAAAAAGTGCGCACACAATGAAAAGTCAGTTAAAAATTATTTTAAGTGTCTACCATCATTTACATCCGTTTTTTTTTTCTTCTCTAGTAGCATTATTATTTGTGTAAAACAAAATTACGCTAACAGGAAAATAAAAGAATAAAAAACAACATCCCTGAATCATATTTTACGAGCTCACTAAGTCCTACACCTCATAACAATTCCAGACACCAACCCTGATACCCACATCTGTGTAGCATAGTCCATTATCCTCTAATATTGGCTAGCAATCATGCAAGATACAAATGATAACAGGTTGCCATTAAGCAAGGAATAATTTAGTCTAAAATTTACAAACTGGATCAATGTTTCAAAAAATGGAAGAAAACTAGGCACACACCTCATGCAAAAAAGCACTTAAAGGCATGCACCTTAGAAGCATATACACCTGTTGGGTTTGTATCTTATTTTCAACTGGTGGGTTGAGTTGTAATCTAACAATGTGTGCGGTCCCCCTTAGGTAAGTATTTGTGTTTTGCATATAAAAGGTCTCTTTCCTGGGTGTGTTATGATACGCTCTTTGGTGAAAAATAGTGTGCCTCTGAGAGAAAAGAGGGAGATCTCTTTTGGAGAAAAAGAGAGGTTGAGAGTAAAGCAATCAATGGATTGGGTCTACCTGACAAAACCGAACCAATCATGTTGGTTCTAAATCTATGGCTGTGTCCCAATTATTAATTGGGTCGGTACAAGTTCTTACTGTTCTGAACCAATAAAGACCTCAACTAATTAAAAGTCAATAACATATAGAGGTCTCCTGGTTTTCGTGTTAACTTTTGTTATATTTTATGTCTAAAACAGGAAATTTCATAGATAGCATATAAGATCATTTTGGTTTAAAAACACTCGTTTTATCAACATATAAACAGTTAACTATTTTTTTGTCATTTTTATTAAGGTTATATTATCTTAAACAAAGTTCTAAATTATTATTAGGCAAAACCTCTGGTGCAAAAATTACACCATGAAGCAAGGGTTATTTCTCTATACAGGACTTTTCAGGTTTGAGAGAGAAAAGGGAGAAGAAGTGTACAAGGGTTAAAGGTTGGTTTGGGTTGCAAACCACAAGGTACCTTGTGCTGTTTCTCATCCTTTTTTCATAGTGACGAATGACTTTTATTTCTCCCATAGGTGTAAGCAGCAAGGCCAAACACTGAACCTATAGGCATATGCCTCAAATACCTTTTAAAACAGCTTAAGCTTTATGTTTGAAGTTAAAAATTTTTAACAGATAAAATTAATTGCAAGAATCACCAATACAAGGTGGGGCATGTGGTGCTATGGACCATGGGATTGAACATGTGGAAAATCTAGTGAGTCCCTTATTCTAATGGTTGGTCTGGGTTGACCACAATATCCTTCCACATGACAAAAATAGGTTGGTTTGTAGGGAATATTCCTACTTGATCCAAGATGTGAACCTTTTTCTACATATATGTCCTGCATTTCAAGCAAAAGAGATGATAAGCTAAGATGGGGTTGGACTATGCATAAATAGAAAATGAAGATGTGTGGTGTCTTACACGTTTCTTTTCTTCCATATTTGCTTTGATTAAAGAATAAATAGCAACACCAGCAATTGCTATAGCTGTGCCAATCCCTGTCTGTGTGGAGATCTTATTTCCTGCATATGTTTTTACAAGCCTGATAAGATGATAAAGAAGCAAGGTATATATGCATACAACCAATAAGAGATGGCCCATGCATCTAGGGTAACTCTTCTAATTAAGTATAAAAATTATACAGACCGTATAAGAAGCAGGGAATAGAAAAAGGGGCACAGAAAATGAAAACAAGATGCTAAGTTGGCTTTCTTTCTTGCTTTCTTTCTTTCCATTTTTTTAATTGATATCATGGGGGTGTCAACTTTTGTTTTGAATTCTTATTTCTTTTCTTGGTCATGCCTATAGGCTTAGAACAATTTCAAGGCATATTATCATCATTGTAATTTCCATATTGCTTATTCATAGGCAGATACCTTTTTTCTTAATAAAAAAAAAACTGTCACTAGTAAAAGAAAGGATATAATATCATATCAAACATCTCAGGATGTAAAATCAGTGACAGATATGGAGTGGCCCAACATATTGCTGATTACCAGAATATTATCCTCATTTTGTAACCCAGAAAGTTGTAACCAGAGGTTACCTTGTAGAGCCAGGAAAAACATGTGGAGTAAAACAGGAAAAGTCACCATACCTTCAACATCATACTTATATGGAGATCTCTTTGCCACTAACATTTACTTCTTTTAATTTTAAGAAAAGACAATTTATTGTTTATTGGAAGGTGCATCCTGGCAGTAAGGCTGCAATAGGCTGAGCTGCACCTTTAGACCAACATCCAGAGGCAAAAGTTCCATTGCATGACAGTTGACCATGCCTAAGCCCAGCCTTGATCTTTTTTGTATCAGTCAGGACAAGCAGCAACATCAAAAATGTAAAACTTGTACAATCTCCCCCATTTAGCAACTACTAAACTATGGTTACAGATAGGTATTAGAAATCGGAAAACCCAGGTTTAAGGTTCAAGAATTGCTAATAGGACTCATTACAGGCCTGAAGGTTGAGTGAGACCATTAATAACAATAAAAATAGTGATTACCTTCCCTAAGAGAGACTGAACTTATCTGAAGTCTTAATACAAGAGTAATTTCATTGACATTTTCTTAGAAACGCAACCTCAGATGAGGGACAAGAGTAATTACCAAATACTACAATGGAGAATCCTATCACAAAGACACGTTTCAACACGTTCCCAACTGCATGTGTAAGTGGTGCAACCCGTTCTAAAGTGTTAGTAGCAAGCTGCAGAATAAAGTTCCAGAGTTAGCAACTATCAAAGCTGGAATTCTACAATCCTCCTATGGCACAGAGAAAAATAGATCAGCATATAAATTGTTTTTTGCAGGCATTTCTATAATGTCTATACACATAAACATATACATTTGCTACTGTTGCACCATACATTGTGGTGTTTGACACACTAAACCCACAAAGCACCACATGAGGAAATATCTACAATTTTTATCAACTTGTACTATCAAAGATTCATCAAAGGATTCATAGGAAAATGTACAACCTTCTACATTACTAGACATACAGAAAACAAAATGATTAATTTTATAAACAAATACCAAATGATAAAATAATAAATATAAGATCATTTCCATTGATACTAGAACCATATCCAAGAAAAGGTCTTTTTGACATAGATCAAAACCACAGGAACTGAGCTCTTCAGGAGACAACCGAAACAACAATTCTAAGATTTTATATGGTACTCCTAATTTTCTAAACCATGAAGGAGAGTTCTGGATTACCTGATTGTAAAGATGGTAAAACATCCCGATCCAGAAAAGATCTGACAGGAACTTAAAGATGCCAACTTTAGCAATCGCATCACTAAATCCATGTTGCATCAACTGGGGTCCCTCAATCTGAAAGCACATCCAAAAGGCATCCTTTATATATGTGCAGAAAAGTGAATTAGAGAAAAGAAATTAAAATAAAATGCTAAGCTTTCAACTGGTCACTGTAATTATATACTCACGAGGATTGCTGGTGGGATACAAAAGAAGAGGGCAATTATTGATGTATATGCATATACATTTGTGCTGTCCATTCCTGTCTGTCAAAATTGAAAAAAAATAAAAAAAAGGATATAGGGAATCTATCTAGAAAAGTGCATCGTCCAGCTTAACTTCCAATCAACACCAGATCTTTGTTTGACTAGACAAAATTGTCTCCATGAGAAATTAGAACTTATATGCCCAAAAAAATTGAAATTATATATGCGCAATCAACCATGTGTATGTGTAAGACACACAAACAGGGGTAGATTTATTTGTGAAAAGAACACATGCAAGTTTCCTAAAGGACCAAAACAGCATCTAGAAGTGCTATTTAACCTGAAATAGTACTGGCATGCCACATTAAGTAAGAGTAAATTACTAAGGATTGAGGGAACATTTGCTCTGGGCTTGTTTTTGAGTTTAAGATGTAAGGGGTTGGCTTGATGGGAGCTGAAAGATAATACCTACTTGTTTATCTTTTAACTTAATAAAAAGGTATTTTCAGTTACTGATAAAAAAAGGATCAAGAGCAAATATATGGCCTATGTTGTTCAATTTTACAAAACAAATAAGACATCTAATTCGCATAATAGTACAATTTGAAAACATCCATACATGAATTCCATGCTTCAGGGAAAGTTTAATTTTCTTCCAGCCCAGGTAAATAGTGAATGCTTTTATTGATGATTGTTACTTTAAAATTGATTAAAAAAATGTTGGTTACTTTAGAGTCAATGAATAGATTGACAGATGATGAAATGCAGTATTTCTAAAATCTTTTAGTTAGGTCCATTAAGGGATCAAATTTTGATGTCAAAATTTAGGTAAGAAAGATAAACTAAGATTCCTTTCATTAGTTTTGCCTAAACTTAGTAGTAAACTAGTATTAGGACTACTAAAACAAAATGCATTAAGTCAGAAATCGTTAGAACTTAAAGCTAGGTCCATCTTGTAAACTAAAGAATGACAATAAAAAGGTAGGATTAAAACAGAATACTTCCTTTCTTGAATTAACTGTTACTAGTTGTATCAGAAATTTCATAAATTTTTTTATCAGCTACCATGAAAAAAGATATAGTGTATTAAAAATATTGTTGATTTATGAGGCATCAGTAATATCTTTCTTTTAAGTTACTGGTTTTATTAAAAGCTGGCTTTCCTCTGGTTCTAGCATCCACTTTTATTCTGAGAGTATAGTCCATCATTCCAAAAGATAGCACATGGGAGGCCCAATGGCCCAGGAGGCTTCCATAGGAAACTTAAGGTACAAAACCCAGAGAATAAAGTCAACGGATTTATATCTCAGGGTCTTATGCACCAGGGTAACCAGGAATTTACATGGGTTAATGGGTACATATTTTGTTCCTAATAGTCCACAGAAGTTTTTGTCTGATAGTTCAATAGTGCATGAAGAAGCAAAAACTTTAAAGTAACAAATAAAGAAGATATTGTTCCAAAATTGTACCATTGCTTTCTTTGAATAGATACTTCTGTAGGTGAATGCAATGTTGGAAATCATTGCACTAATGAAACCAGTCCAGTTGAAAGAAAGTTCAGTCAACGATGCCATAGATACACCTAAAACACAAATCCGATGATCATGTCAGCAAATAAGATATATGTTACCATGCAGGTACTTCATACTTGAACTTATTACCAGCAAGCATCAAGCACAAACCTAAAATTTCCAAAACAAATATTCAAATATTTCAGGCGTGGGGGCGAGAGCAGGGGACCATATAGATGTTCAACTTATGTAGAGAGAAGGAACAATGTGGAGTTGCCAAAAAGTTACCAATAACAACAGGGGCCAATGATAGCCATAAGGCTAATGGAATCCGGTGACCTAAAATGAACTGTGAAGCAGCAGCATTGAAAAAGGGCTCCAGCGCTGCATAACAAAATGAAGAAAGGTGTCAGTAAGGGCCTAAAAAGAATACTATGTAGGGAGCAACATGAAATTGTCAAGTTACCATCCCACACTTGCCATATTTCTATTTTTTGACCATTTAATTATCATCCATAAGAAAAAACAGATGGACAGGAAGCATTGGTTCTAATAAGTAATGACTAAAAGTGTAACTGTGACTGTTTACAGGCTGAATAACATAATATGAAACAGAGAGTTGTAATTCAAGAAACAGCTCCAGTCAATTCATCAAGGAAATTGGAGAGCAAGTTCTCACTATTAGTAGCACCTAGCAAGAGTACTGCTTTCAAACCTCTGACAAGTGAATCCTAAATGGAACTTTGAAGAAGATAGATTCATGATAACAACACAATTACTACTGAAGCTTGTTAAATTATGAAGCAATAGAAAAAAGTAGAAACATTTATTAACAAAATGATAGATAAGCTGGTCTTGAGGACCATCACTTGGAATTGGTCCCTAGACTCCCTACCATCTATGCCACTTCACTACCCAAAACATGCTTTGAGGTTCATGTACTGCAGATTCCATTCCCAATGCATAATTTGATTCATCTGGACATTAAGGGCTAGCTTTAGAGCATGGTCATTCAGACAAGAGTAGCATTTCCCACCCCTAGGAGGGGGGATCCCCAAAGTTCTGGTTCCCTCAATCAATTTGTTCGAGAATATAACATGATGCCAACTGCTAAGCGAAGAACAATTTAAAATAAGTAGATTAGACTTTAGTTCTAGGTCATTAGATGGTAAGAATCATATAAAAATACAGTCCATGATAAAGTAGGCCCACCTCTAGAACATCCAAGTGGAAAAAGTATAATTGTAAATGACAAGTACTTCCATCTATTATGTGCAAATTGAATCATGGACTCCCTGACAACAACTAAATAGCATATGAATGAAAAATGTTTGCTTAACTGAGGGAGATTTACTGTCTTCAGCCCTATATACCTTTGATTGTGTGTGTAAAAGAAACAGCAACAGCTGCAAATGAGACATTTGACATTACATGTCCAAGGGCGTGGCAGAAAGCAACCGGCGTGAGGAGTGCTAAGAGATCCTTATCAATTGGCTGCTTGCACAGAAACAGCAATAACCCATTTATTTAAACCATATCTTAAGGAAATGTAACTGCAATTCCTGGGTGTAAAAACTTACAGCACGTTTTGGCAGGCCAATAGCCCAGCTTACAAGACAGTATCCTACTCCAACTAGTAGATGCACAACAGAAACAAAGCTGCAGGAGGAGAAAGAATAAAGAGAAAATTGTTACTTAACTTTTTCTTTTGGCTTTATGGGGCTACACAGCTGGGTGTAGCCCATCCCCTCCCCTATACCTATACCCCCCAACCCCGGTGGCAGAGTCTCTACTACAACCAGTAAGAGAACCCACCAACTAAGCCACATCAGTTGGTTACAGAACATGTTTCTGGAACAATAGATATATAAATTAAAAGCTTCTTATAAGAAGGATACAAGAGCAACAATATTAACCCTGCAAAAGGACATGAACTTCATGTGGTTTAGACAACTCACTATGGATATGGAAAATAGTTATAGACCTTCTTGTTGAGAATATTGAAGATGACATTCAAGAAATACCTGAAACAGAAGAAAAAAATGGATGACAATCAAATATTTTACATGCAATGTTGTATCACCTAAAACAAAACCCAGAAGAAATGATACATTAAAAATGGTTAAGGATAAATGATTAGGATTCTTAGGATGCTGATGAAAACCATAACATGTTTTTATTTTTTGTTGATTCAAAGGTTTATATTGAAATGGGAAATGCTTCTTATAAAATGCATTCAGAGTTCTATTTTCAAATAGGAAATATTTTGTGTTACACAAAGACCCCCAAAGAATCAGGACCAGGAATGGATAATTGCCCTTTTTTTAAAATGTTTCTTACGTTGACCAACGAGAAGTACTATATCCTGTCTTGTGTTGGTCAGCAGCCACTAGTTAGACATACATTGACCAGTACGATTTTCATCTACACCTGATGACTTGAAGTCAATTCATAACAGTGGAAATTTAAATGACCTTCACCCAAAAAAGAGAAAAAAAATAAAATTGTGGATAAATATAACCAGATGGATTTTTAAATAAGTATATCAAAGAAATACATTTTTACAGCTCCAAAAAAAAAGAAGAGAATGAATGATATGCATGTAAAATTACTAAGTAGGTGGTTACTCAGTGATCTGCTGAGAGATGAATTCGCTAACTTTATATAGACAAGTGCATGTCATTCATGTTTTGATTTTATGGTGAACAAGAGAATAAGAAGTATTGATTTTAACAGAACCGTGCATACAATGAATCCAATAAGAATGATCTATTCTCAAGACTGTTGTGGCTTTGCAGAACATTCACATCTGATGACTGTTGAGACTGCTGATCTTCTACAATGTATACGTAGTTGGACAGAGGTATGACTCTTTGTAAATGGCTAAAATATGTTTCTAAGATCCCATTGAATTTTAGGCATGTAAAACACAAACAAACAGACAGACATGCTCCATACACAACCAAGGGCTTCAAACATGCTTGTTTGTAATTAGGTGCTTACACATATTGTTTGCATGGTAATATAGGGACTTGCAAGTACTAAGAATATGACATCTGTAAGTACATGAAGTTCCCCATTGCCATGATCATGATTAAGGAATCGAAGCAAAACCACACACACTTGTAGCAACATAGAGGACTACCCCCAAGCATGCGATGAGCTCAAAGAGCTGTCCCAAGCTTGCGATGAGCTTCAAGAGCCACCTTGAACCTGCGATGAGAACACGATGTCACCTAATACTCGCAACGGCTACACAAAGCATCCCGAAGACGATAAGACGAACAGCTGGACATAGCAGCCAAACATGGCCCCACCCATGACATGTGACCTCAAGAGGTCAGAAGATCTCGTTAGACACGTGACGAAACCCTAATACCTTGATAACTGACATAAAGACAAGGATTCCCTTTCCTAATAGGAACGGAACCCTTTTTGGATCCTTCTCGTTAAAGTCTTGGGATCCCCCTTATAAAGGGAGAAAAAGGAACAACGAACACACATTCTTTTACCACTCTTACTGTCCGGCTTTGTTGAAACTCCCAATAGGCGAAAGCATACCCATCATCTCCCCTTGAGGCCCTAATCCTAATCCTTCTTCGTCCTTCGAGGAGACCACCCTAACTCGCCTCACCATAGCACTTACAACATCAATGATCAACTATAGATTTCTGGCTTCCAAGGTTTGCTTGTTTGCATGGTTTCAAATCCTTATCCTTGAAGATGACTTGCTAAATTTTCAAGTAATAGGCATCATAAAATAGATGACTTAATATCCCATAAATAAGAACATCGGTAGTTGCATACATATAGTCATGAACACATAAACACATACATGATTACTTACCACATGAAAAAAAAGAAGCCAGTAACAAGTGCTGGATACTTCTCACAAAAACCCTTGGAAGGCTTGTTAAGCCTGCAATTAACCAGAAAATTGGAAATTTTACACAATAAACTTTTAAAAAAACAATAATAGATGTTAAAGAAAAGCAAATGCAAATTAAAAATTAATAAACATGGAAAGAGAAATCCTGTGAGGAAGAAAAAGAATATCGAATTCCGACCCGCTTGAAGTTTCAACTTCACGACCGTCAGCAGCTGCAGCGGTAGAGACGACCGGGAATGTTACGGGACGATGTCTTCTCAACAATGGATTTGAACCAGAAAACCTCAGAAACTTGCCAGAGAACTCAGTTGGAGCAGAAGAGTTGCTTTTATTCTCTGGCAGCGATAAGAATGCGAGACGTGAGGCTTGGGGAACAACCGAGCGGTTCTTGAGAACAATAGAATTAGGAGGATGCCTATTCGAAGACAAATACAGAGACGAAATTCGAGAACGAGGAGCCGAAAGATGAACCAGGTTTCCAACGGAAGCCATTAATAAACGAAAATATACAAAAACTTAACTATAAGGTAGAGACACAAAAGACTATTTAATCCTCTCACAAGGTCTGAATTTCAATTCGTAGACATCAGAGTTCGTTATCTATCGTTCTCTGGACCATTGAATTAAGAACGAAGAGAAGCAAACGAGTAAATTTATACACAAATAAAACAATGAGATAGAGGAATCATACTTCTATTTCGGTCTTCGGAAGGTAAACCCTAGAATTTTAGGAACACAGATTCCTAAGATTATGATTTTTCAGACGTGTTTTTCTATAAACGCAGGAGGAGCAAAAGCTGTTTCAACTAAGTAACAGAGTTTCAACAAGAAGTTGAAAGAAAAAAAATTGAATTTCAGGAAACTTAAACACGTATCACAACAGGGAAAAGGAGTTATGAAGAGCTGAACTCCATGGAACAGTGACAGAATCACGGAATCAGAACCTAATAAGAAATCGAGACACGAATATGCAGCAGCTCAATAATGGGGTTCGCGGGAGAATTGAAAGTAGAGTAGGTGAGATGCTTTATTTGAATTCCCTCTAAAATGTCCTTTTTAAGTTTTTTTTTTTTTTCTTTTTTAATTTGACCGGAGAAAAAAAGTAAAACAGAACTTTGGTTCTATGTTAGTCCACGTGGAGAAATTATTCCATGGATCTCGGCTTTTCGAGGCCGTTCGAACATCAGACAATTATTAAGTTTGTCAAGGCCATCTAATCTGAATTGTACGGTGGCCATGAAATCGACATTTGATATTTGAATTATTCAGTGCTCGGTGATTGGTTGATTTACAGTAAATACATCAAGATTCGTTGCATCACTGAGCATGTGGTGCTCAAATAGGCAATTTCTAAATTGATGTTGAGGCCCTGCTTGTTTGTAGTGCAAATGTATCGGGGCAAATGAGAAATTGCAATTTTTGGTTAATTTTTATTTTGGGTTTTATTTATTTATATACACAAACAAACAAAATAAGGTAAGGGTGCATTTGATTTGCAGAATTTAGGGATCTATAATCAGAATTAGAAAGGTCAACTCTTTGGTTGAATCGAGAATCTCATGTTCATTTTTGACAAAAGTGCATTCTCCCATCGTCCCGTTTGAGGGAATGATCATTTTCCCTCTTCCCTGTAAATGAAAATCTATTCCAACCGATTCTTATTTTGATTTAAATTCTTACACCAAATAGATAAGTTGAATAAACTACTTCGATTCCAGTTTGACTATGAACCAAATGGACCCTATGACATAGGGACATAAAACAGCTTATTGGATAAGGCTGGAATTAAATTCGGACTAATTCAAATAGGGTTTATTTTGAATTGGATTCAATAGAAAAATCATGAGATAGGGTTTATATTGTAGTTGAACGAAATGAGATTTATCTGTATGTGTGCATAATTATATCAAATAACATCCATATTCAAATCAATTAATATATCACATTTTCAAACCTTATCCTATGATGGATAAACAAATATCTAAATCCAACTTAAATGAATCAAATTAAATCCAATCCGTTTGCAGGTGGTGCATCAATACCATTATTGGATGGGTCTCACCCACCTAAGAAAGGGTTCAGTAGCACTTATGAGTTCTGACCACCCACCAAATATTTGCTTCAAAATCCGAAGATTAGATGTAGGGGGTTCAGTTAATCGAACCGTGGGGTTTTTTAGGACCAAATCAGTATTACCGGTTTTTTGAAAACTAGTGACTGAAATCAGTTGGTTAACTGGTTAACCGGATTGGTTAACCATCTGTTTGGTTTGTCGGTTTTTTGGTTTTTCAATTTTTATAATATATATTATAAAAATATAATAAAAAATTATAAATATATATATATATATATCAAATATTATATTTTAATTACTAAATAATATATCATATATTATAAATATATACATTTATATATATATATATACTGCATATTTATCAATTTATAATATATAAAAATATAAAAATTACATATATAATATATAATATACATAAATATATATATAGAATATATAGAATATACATATACTAGTCGGTTTGGTTAATCGCCAGTTTTCTATATTTTAACCGATACCTTCGGTTTTTTAAAAACATTGAATCAATCGGTTCAATTAACCAATTTTTTAATTTAGTTTCAGTCGATTCAGTTTTTCGCTTTCTTTTTCACCCCTAATCAGATGAGAGGTTAAGATAATTTTTTTATTCCTTGCCTTTTCAGCATCATAGATTTTCCCTTATATGAAAAGAGAGTTTCGCAACTTTCATTCCCTTCTCCCAATTTATTTCGCATTTGGATATTGTCCTCACAATCCCTTTGTAGCTGTGCATGGAGAACATCTTTATATGTTTTTATTCACGAAAGATATTCTCAATGCACGGTTGCGAGGGGCAGTGGGAACAGGTTTTTGTGAGGATGTAACCCGAATTCACTTATCTCTTTCTAGTGTCCCCCTTTCCTCTTGTTCTCCACTCCACCTATGCAAGTTTTATGTCAAAATTAGTACATAATTAGCATGATGTAACAACACTTGTTTGGTTCTTCAAAGCCCATGCTGCAATTTTTTTTCTTAATTAAGAGTAAGAACGAAGTCACCTTCCCAAGTGCATATCATAAAAAAGAGCACTTACTCCAAAGCCAGGAGAAGAAATAAACGCCAAAAAGGAAAATATCAATATCAAAGAGAACAGACTTTAGTTAAATTGTGAATTGTCTATTGACTTTATTGGACTCAGAGCATTCTGATATTCAAAATTGAAGTGTAAATATTTACTTAATTTTATTGTTGTTAGGTTCGATATGCCAAAAAAAAAAAAAATCCAAAACTAATAATAGATCAGAAGTAATAAGAAAATAAAGGAGAAGATTGTTTTTCTTTCCTTTTGATGGATGGATACATCATACATGGACATAAAGATTATATATATGTAAGTGATGTGTGACTCCTCTGATGACATTCGATCATTGTTTAGGTCTGTGAGAATGATTGGACAGCTTTGTATGATGCTATGAACTTATGACAGCCTTATTTATATTATATACATGGTGTAGTTGACATAAACAAACCATTTTCTATGCTCTTCTTGCATCATCCATCACGCATGCCGCAATCCTTTAAGTCTATATATAATAAAGGGCATGTTGGCATGTGCAATGATGCAGGCCAGAGAATTGAACTGGACCTGAGACATGAGGGAGGCACATGGTGGAGTGAGTTACTCTGAAGAGGAAGACGTGGGGAGAGTAGTCTCAATTCTTCTTCATCTTCTTATTTTTCTTTAGGTTAGGGTTCGACTATGATACCGGAAAAACTTATACAGCCAATCAACTGGGTGTTATAAAATAGATGACAATTCATCAAAATTCATGGAGTGCTTTAATTGGTCAAATCTCTTATGGTATCATGTCTTTCCGATTCTTGAGAAAATCTATTATGTTGAAAAAACATTATATCAAAAAAGCTTTGACCAATCACAACCCCATAAATTTTGATGAAAATCCATCTAATTGGTTCCTACTTTTATGATACCTGTTGATTGTTGTATGTTTTTCCTGAATCATGCCTTTCTGCCACCATAGTCGAACCTTTTCCCTTTAGGTTATTTGGCAGGGGTGCAAATTTGGATGGACTGGTATTACAATTTTGTCAAAACTTGAATGGACTTTCCATATGAGGCCCACCTTGCAAAGCCAGAAGCCTCTGCATAAAAGCCCTCTCAAACGGGTGCCTGGACTGACTTACCTCGAACTCGAATCGCAGGGCCAGGGGCAAGCATTGCGCTGGGCTGACCCAAGGCCTGATTTAGCCCAGCCCAAAAGAAGCAAAACCTTGAAAGGTTTTACTTCCAGGCCATTGTAAAAGGCTTATTAAGCTTGAAAGGTGCATGTATATATATAAATATATATGGGCTTTAATGGTTGAATTGGATTGGGTTGGATTAAGCCAATATCTGGTCCATTGGTATAAGATAAGAATATATGTGTCAATGGACTGGGTTTGGGTTGAAGCCAATCTAAATCAAAATGAATTTGAACAGATTGGACAGTCCAAACAATGAATTGGATCGGTTCAAATTGGTCCAAAACATTCATTGGATTGGATTGGACTGGACCTGGTCCATTTATAATGGACTCACATTGGATTGGACCAAATCCAGTTCAATTGACACCCCTACTTGTCAAAACCCCTCCAATTCTGAGCGTACACGTCAAGTATGGAAACTTGGAGGAGGACATCTGTAGATTGTTGGAGGAGATACCAAAATTAAAGCACATATATTTCCATGGAACAAAATGATCAGTGCATTTGCCCAGCATGCTAGTGCCCCCAAAAGCTTTAAAGTTTACAGGAAGGTTGGAAAAGTATGGAATTGAATCTAACTCCATCACTTTCAGGCCATTGGTATCTGCTTGTAGCCATTGTTCACTGGTGGATAAGGGGGTTCCTAACCTCCTCCTCCTCCTCAGTATTATCATCATCTAAGCCTTATCTTATCTATCTGGGCTTGGTTAAACGAGTTGTGTTTAACCACTCTGTTCTGTTCAGTGCCACCATACTCATTTGTATTTGTGAGGTATAAATCAAGGTAATGAGAAAGATTGATCAAAGTGACCAACAAGGAGTTAGACTTTCGATTCATTCTATACTTCTATACTTCCTTCGATCCATGGTTCCAGAACTAGCAAAATGGCATTATTTGGAAAACAACATTTTTATAGCTTGCTCGACCAAGAAAAAGATGGTTTACTTATGTAAGTATGAAATGACAATTAGCTTTAGTCATAATATCAAAAGCAGGAACTTCAAAAGTAGATAGTGAAAGTAATGAATCAAGCAATCAATGCTCACACATCGAGGTTCAAAAAGTAAACCATGAAAAGAACTGCCTCTTTTGCATTATTTGGTCCCAAAAAATTGTCATTTTCAAAAAAAAAAAAAAGATTGGTATCATACCACCATTTTTAGAACCTTGAACCCAGCACTCAAGTTAAACATCTCTAAGAACTAGGCAGCCTAAAGCTTCTCGATTCTAACAATTCGACAATCTCGTCTGGTCGTACCTGACAACACTAGTTGGAGCTCATCTCATCTCTCCCTTTTTACAGAGTCCCACAAACAAAACGGGATCAAACTCACACTTGAGCGGTGTGTACTGTGTAAGCAGTAACATCAACTCATCAAGACGGGAGCTAACTTCACATGAACCAATTGAACATGGGTTCAGATTCAGAACCACTTAAGGTGTAGTTGCGTAGTTATAAGTGTAGCACGTATCAAAATTCAAAGGATTTTGATAAGCCAAATGGCCATATATAATATATATTAATCAAGAGCCTCGCATCTCTAAAGCGCACACAGAATGGAAGGAAATGTCATATATTAGTACCTTGTCTTCTTGTATCGTTCGTTCTTTTTCTCCGCCCACTCAGTCATCAATGAAATACAAATAACACTCACTTTTATGTAATTGCTAGTGGGTTTCCTGTTGAATAACTGGGAGCGCTTTAAGCATAGGGTATGCATTTATTTGTTGTTCAAATTCCCATTAGTCCGGACTACTGACCGTGCTGGAGGGATTGTCAGGACCACAGACCTTTCTGGCTCCTGCTTTTCCGTTTTTTCTTAATTGTCGTACGTCACTTTCAGGTGATAGAGTACCTCTTTTATAATACATTACATTCCAAACATGATTGAGTTGACATGAGAGGCTCAGACACTGACATTGTTATTATTCCTTGAATCAGCAAAGAAAAAGAAAGAAGAAAAAAAAAAGATACGATACGAATCAAATCCCATTCGACAACTCCCCCACTAATATCGGGAGTCAATCCTGGTACAATAAAAGATACTTGTCCTTACTCCTTACTAGTCACTTTAGAGAAGAGAGAGAAGGCCCAAAAAAGGAAAAAAAAATGAAGACTCCGTACTTTTCCAGAGAGAACCAAAAAAAAAAAAGATCACGGAAGCTTCTATCCGTTTCAGATCACTTTCAGCCAAATAAATATGAATGGTCAATTACACGTGATCGACCCATTTCTACCGTGGTCCCTTTTTTGTACATAATAATAAGCATCACGCACATGTTAGTGGGATGGATTCCCGTGAAAGTAGCCAAAGGGAGAAAATAGAAGAGATAACTGGGCTTATAACTAGTCTAACCAACGCTGCGTTTAGTTGATTGATCACAGCTTCCGGATGAATTTCCTGCAGTTCAATCGGACGGGGGAGATCAGTCCTGAAGAAGATCCAAACCCCTTAAATCCCATAGCTCCTCCTCCCGCCCCCGGTCTCTTGCCCAGGGAAAGCAACATTTTTGACTGAAATTGAATCACCCTCTTCCCAGAAATGTAAATATTTGATCTGAAAATCGAACCAATCACCATGATTTCTGTGGAGAAATAAATGGAGCAGCCGTTCTTCCCACTTGGCTCTTTTGGAAAACGATGGCCAACCCCAAGTCTAATTTTCATGGCAATATACAAGAATTTATGTTTTCATCTCAAAAATGATACCAATGGCCTCTATGGTTATAAAGATCAGAAAGCCTCGGTCACTCCGAAGGAGCCGATCAAAAACCCATTCCTTTTGTCCTGCATTTCCTCTTTCATTCTTGTCACCTTCGTTTCCGTGGATATGCCATCATGTAAGAGAGAAGAAAGAGGCCACAAGTGCATGCAGGGGTGGAGGCAATCAATTGATCAATTATTAAAGTGATAGACATTGTACCCCCTCTGGAAGATTTCTAGGCAATGGGTGAGCAGTAACATATCTTTGGGGAAAGGCTTTCTGTGCAGTTGCAGATGTATCAGAGGACGATGAGGTCTCGGCCCCGTCTGCATGGCCCCGCCCATGGAACTTGGCAAATCGATTGATGACAGAAAACCTTTCTAGATCTTGGCAATCCACTCTCAGATCTAAGATTGAAGCTCTCTTGTCCAATCTGCATAATCACAAAGAAAGCATTAAAAATATTATATAAAAACCATAATTACCTTTCACTATTTCTAGTTACAAGTCTCCATGGGTGCATGAATAAAAACGAAGTGCAAAAGGTAATTTAGGCACACTAGTGGTCTATCAATCAGTAAGCCAGGTCTAAGACATTAACCATTTGATATTCTTTGACAAGAGACTTCTATCATACCAAAAAAAAAAGTAGGGCGCTTAGAATCAGATGATTGTTTCTACTTTTGTGCTATAGCTTATCCAGGAGGTTCTTATACAAATATATAGTTCATATTGAACTCGCTCCATGCACATCAAAATCAAGCTAATAAGGCTCCCTTGAGAGAGCTAGGAGAAATGGGAGTTAGCCTTCAAACCCTTTTTTTGGGCAGAAGTAGAATTATCAAATAAAATCACAAACTTGTTGAGAACAAGGCCATCAATACAGATTGATCAAGCAATTAATCGCTCCACATGGAGCATTACTTTTATGCTTGTAAGCATTTTTATTGTTAAAAGTTGTTTAAGTCCACTTCATCTACCTCAAGGACCAAGGTTTGTTATTGGTAAAAGGAAAACTTGTAATAATGCAAAAGCTGAGAGCAAGAATGGAAATTGAGAACAAGGCCATCAAAATTTTCTGGGCAATATCAAAACATACAAGGAAAGGTACAACACTAAAACCCCTATGGTTCATACAGAGCTAATCAAGAGAGCTGAACCCCCAAAAGAGCACTCTATAAGTTCTACCTTCGACTAAGCTATCAAAATGAGATTTTTATCCAGAAGCATATGATTTTAACTATAGCAATCGAAAATCAGTCTCCCTAACATGATATTGCAGCACCAAAGAGCCCCCACCACCTCTATCATTCACCCTGTAATCACATGGGAATCTTGCTCCACACCCCAGCTAGAGAGTTTTTTTATATTCCAAGGAATACATCATACATCAATCACAGGTGCTAAAGCAATAACAGAAACTCTACTCCTATGGAGTTCGGAGTTCCCATTACTTATAGAATACACCCAATAAGAACACCCTCCCCCCGAAATCCCTACAGGACAATCAAGGTTAAACTCAAGCTCCAAGGATGGGAAAAAAACAACCCTTTAGTATCAGGGAGCAACTGACAGATGAAGAATCCATGCCAGTCCATCCTGTCACTAGATCATCAATAAAGAAGCTTCTAAAGGTGCAACGTGCAACCCTGATAGCATGAGAAACTTGTCCTAGACTCCAAGTTAAATAATGACTGCATGAAAATTTGTGGAAAACAAAAAAAATGGAACCGTTTACGGTCAAAGCTATCTTGTAAGTATGGCCAACCACCACAGCTCTTATTATCAATAAGGGCTCAAAATTGATGCAATTTTTTTAGTACTCAAAACTGATACTTTCCACAGTTGAAATTTAAGTGAAGCTTCTTCCAAGTTAATGCTTTTATTCATGGCATACCGATACCTCAACTTCATGGTGAAAATCCTCTTGTCCTTCCTGAAATGCCATTCAACTCTGTTCATTCCAGAAATTGAATTGCATCTATTTTCTTCTATTCCTAACTACAGGATTTTCAAAGTTCAACTTTTCTAAAATATCCTATTACCCGAATAGGTAGTTATCCCATTATATATCATCTTAACAAGAAGATGCAAGCTAGCCTAATACTGAGGGATTCTTGGCATGTATTGTATGTAAACCATTTTTATCCCATAATCAATAAAGCTTAATGGTTACCAATACGTAGTGTTTCGGGGTCCCACCTATTTCAGGGGGTAGACAGGCCTTAAAACCAACCCCCCTGAACCAGTCTCAAAGAAAAAAAAAACTGAAAAAAAAAGCTAGCTTCGATACAGGCAGATACGCCTCATCTGGCATATCGGACTGTATTGATATTTTGAACCTTGCCAATATGGGCAGAATTCCAGGGGGTGCTTTAAGGCCGACACCTGGATGGTTGAAGCCTGAAGGCGTAATGTGAAGGACCAAAGAACATAAACATTTGCTGGACACCTCCACCTCATGGGTTCACCAAACTGAATTTCGATGGTAGCAGCATAGGCAATCCAGGGCCTTCTGGAATAGGGGGAGTAATAAGGGATGAAGCAGGAAATTTGTTGGCTATGTACTCTGGTCCGATTGGGGTAGGAGACTCTTTGAGGGCTGAGATTATAGGAGCTATTGAAGAGATACAAAGGGCCAAAGAATTGAATATTAAAAAGCTGATTATAGAAGGTGATTCTGAAATTGTGGTGAATTGGCTAACAGAGGACAGTTCTATGCTCTGGAGATACATCAATGAAAAGAGGAAATTCATTGTACATGGATAAAGAGAATTGCAAATGCATTGGCAGATGGTTTAGCTAAACAATGGGTAAACAGGAATACTATGTTCTGGGCTGTTTTGTAATTTGTAATTGTAATTGCTTCATGGTCAGAATGTACCTTGGGTAGTTGGGAGTAAAGACTATTTAGCTTACTCCTTTGTAATTCTGATTATCTAATTCCTTATTAATAAAAGTTCATACTACCATATTAGGGAAACAAGACATTTGGCTAATGAGATGGAAACAGATTTTAGTTGGATCCCCCAATCTTAACTCTCTCAATCTCTTGCTGACTCTCTAGTTCAATATGGAGGGAGAAGAGAGACTAGTTCGAGTGATTGTCTTTTTGAGGAAATATGGTTTTGGTACCGACAGTGATATCTGGGTTTGGGGAGAGCAGGTAGCAGTTGACTCTGTTTGTAATCTTAAGGAATGTAGTGCTTATATGGCCCTATTTACATATTTCACTATCATCAATAGAATTTTACCAGTTGCCAATATAAAAAAGCTTATGTGATGTCAACAAACTGGTGTTCATGGAGTTTATTTTTCTATTTTCACCATTCTTTCTTTAATATTTCAGATATGAAACCCTTCTATTTCCCCTATATTAGATTGAAACTTTTTCTTCTTTACACACAACATATACCCTAGAAGGATTTTTCTCCTTCACAACCTACATCCACAAGTCTAAAGATTATGTGATATTGCCTTTTCTCATTTGTATATTAGAAACGTGAGCAAAGAGACATTTATTTATTTCTGGCTGATAAAAAAAAAGAGACATTTATTTCTGGAATAGAATGAAAGACAAACAAGTGCATATTCAATATCATTATTAAGATGGAAGAGGGGAATAAAAAGGCATGCACAACACAGTAAAAATAAAAAACAAATAAATCAATACTAGTCTGAAAAGATGAAACAAGCCAGCCTGAATTGCATGTTTCTCATAATAAAGGTGTTCTCTACACCCATTCTTCTAATAGGGCTATCAGCCAAAAGGTTTCCAGACCTAGGAAGCATTCCAATGTTCTAAACAAGCTGTTCAATCTTAAAAGAGCATGTCCCTGGCAACCTCATCAAACTTGGCTTCTCTGATTTAATTGCCAGGGCTCTTCGTCATCCATCAAATTAATTGTGGATGAATCTCCCTTTACGACCAGATTTCTGAAATATAGTAGAGAGATACACCCCTATGATCTCTGAAGGATCCACCTACACCTGATGCGAGCAATTCTCTTATATGAAGTGCCAAAGGCTCTAGAGCTATCAGATTGTGGTAGCATCCACCTCACAACTACCCAGGGGTCACCTTTCACTAAGAATTTATACCAAAGGAAAAACCAAATGTAAGCCTTCAAATAGTGAGATAAGCTACGTCTTTAATGAATGCCCATCACCAATTGTTCCTGAATAGACACCAGTAAAAATTCCCCTATAAATCCCCTTTAGAAAAACTGTTTATACCATAGAACCCCAGATTACAAATAGAGAATTGGTCAAAATTCAATTTGACCCTATCATTTGCTGGTGGTTCCCATTCATTAGATGCTTTTTTAAGCATAACTACCTATCAATTGCCAGGTTCCAATGAGTCCACTGAGACCACTCTGAATTCTTCCTTGTTAGGAATCAGTTTACCCTTCACAATTGTTATGAAATATTTGAACCTCTTGGTTTGTATCACAAAGAATTCTTACAATTCTATACATCCTGAACACTCCAAAGGGTTGCTATTCTTGTGCATTATCAAGGATCCCTCCCCCTTTAGCGGCTGGTGAAAAGAAACAAAAATGCAAATATACCAAAGGTAGGTCTACTGCCTGATTCTTATGACAGCCAAACATAGGGAGGAAATGGCAAATGTTTTATGGACGATGTGGTCGTACAAAGGAACCTACAAGTCTCCCAAAAAGGAGTACACAAGGGCAGAGATATTGATTAGTATCATTTTAGCAAGGGTTGCCAATTAGATACACACCAAGAACGAGTTCATTCTCAGTGGAAGACTTTATTAGGGGTGGGTAATATGCATCCATAGTTTCATGCAACAGACAAATTACCCACTATATTAATCTGAATTTTGATGGCTGCTCAATTTCGAAATCCAGAGAAATTAAAGACAGGTGTTTTAAACAGGGATTTTAAGCAGAAATTGAATGAAAAAGGTGCCAGGTTAGGGTGATATGTTAATTTCTAACCACAATCAAACACATGTGCAATCGCACATACATGCAAGGATTAAAATATCGATATGATATGCCTTGTATCAGTTTACATAGATAAACCAATACACATATTTTAAAAGCTTTAAAACATTCCAAAGCCTACTCCCATCCCTCTAATGACTATAAAATAAATGAAAACAAGTGGAGCATCGGTGATATCGATATGCACCAATAACCAACTTTGAGTATTGGGCATATCAATATTTTAATCTTTGCATACATGTAAGAGAGATGATCTTCAATCCATAAGTTCTTCTTAGAGTTACTGTTCAAAACAATCTACGAGGAAAGCCAGTAGTAGTGAGTAAAAAAAATAATGAGTAACAAAATAAATGAAGAATAAGAACAACTTTAACTTTTCAAGTTGCCATACAAAGTACAAATTTCATCAAATACATAGCACCACTTCAATACATCTATCATTGAGATTATCAGCCACCATGTCATTGAGTAAAAACCATATCATTGTCCATAAATAACAAAAAAAAAAGTGAAAATTTTATAATCTAGACCCCCCTTTTCATCTATGAGGAAGAGATCTTATAAACCTAGAGAGAGATAATGAGATATCCCATGACACATTGACAACAGAGGTCTAGATGCATCTGGCATTCTTTGCTAGCTTCCAAGGGCTCAGATTTTCAAAAAGATAAAAAAGCAGCTTGTTGTAATACCCATGTACTAGGCATCATGTATGTGGACAACATGAGCTCAAGCCAGGCACAATTTTATGTTAGGTCCAGCTATCAAGCAAACCTGGTCAATAATCTCTTAGACAATCTGAGAGAACAACAGCCTCCACCTTATGGGAATGCCAGTGCCAGATTTAGGAGAACCAACTTCACCTTTTAATTCTAAAAAATCCACCAATATCTGCTTAACCAATAACAGATGAAAACAATAACTGCCATGATCAAGCTTTAGGTTCCAGTCTCTAATGGGTTCTCACTTCCATGGAGCCACTCATACACAAAAAAAAAAACAAAAATGCTAATACCCTGAACCAGCATAAATGGATGTCCACAATTGATACAACCTGATTCCTTTGGAAAATGTCTATTATAATATAAATTGCCATATAAAAATAGGAGGAATAAGATTTTCCTGCTGCAACCCTTTAAAGTTCTCCATTTGCATCTTACTCAACCTTCTCTTGTCCCAATGCCTATTTTCATGGGATTTCATAAATGCACTACTTTCTCCCAACAAAATTGATGGCCCGATATACCTTTCTCGTGATGTCATATTTGTTTCTGCAAATAATCTGAACAACTCTGGAAATCAACTGTGCTTAATGAATGCAAGAACTTGAAGCCAAAAAGAAACTGAAAGTTGCAATTTTCTACCGAGCAATATTTATCAAAAAAATCTGCTGAACAATAAACCCACAAATGCTCATCGTGACAATAATTAGAACCTTAGTTTCGCATGAAATGGCTTCTTACATCCAACCAGTGTTTGATCTTGGTAGGAAGAGACTAAACCAAAACTCCAATAATATCAAACACAGGCATCTAAACACATCATTTTTTCAGTCCCCTTGGATAGGCACCCAACAACTGATAAAGTTGACTTGAAAAACAGGTCCAAATCCTTCTTTAGCAAATAGAAGGTACATTTAAGGTCCAAATACCTTGAACAAAAGTACAGACTCATTCTGATAAATTTAAAAGCCAGAATAGGAGCTCATGGGAAGAATTACATGGCTTTATGTGCATAAAATGTTATAATGTCCTTAGAGACACCCAAAGGTCCAGCCTTAAAGAGTTAAGAAGACACTCCCAACTAACAAAATGATTTAATTACGCATCCAACAATAGACAGTCAATTAATCCAGTAATGGTTCATTCCCCATCCTTTTTATCAGCAGTGGAGGTTCTTCAACCATTAGGCTTTAACAACTGCACGAACCATATGTTGAACAAAAAGCGGGGATGCAAATTCAATAGCTTTTAGATCAGCAACATGAAACTTTTCTCAATCATGTAAGCATCTTTCTACACAAAGAATTCAGTAACTTATGAAGTTTGATGATTTTGAACCTTATTAATAGGAACATCTTATCATCAGCTGCTAGCATATTAAATATACCTTGGATCAAGAGTATCATTTAAAAGCAACCAGTAGAAAAAGCATCCCAACAACTTGAGAACTCAATCCAACACACTTTATAAGCCATACTTCTTGCCTCTAAAAAACAAGAATCTATTGGATTCCCAAATGCATCTGGCATAGCTCATTAGGATATGAAGTTGTGAGAAGCAAAACAAGCCCGATAAAGTTCACCCTCATACAGCTTGATGTGGATGGCCATGGCAATACCTCATAATTCTTAATCTGGCTATAACCTTTTTTTCTGAGTAACCGTACAACTCTAATTATTTGAAAAAAAAGAATAGAATGTGTACAAACATTACAAGCAGGAAACCCTTTTGTGTTAGGCTAGCATTTGCTATCTAACTCTATTACAATTGCAGGCCTCAAATAACATGTTAATTCCCAGAGCATATGCTGCCTGTTCACACCTTGCTTGACCAAGACATTGGCCATTAGGAATCAGATGTCTTCCTCACTTGGATTCTAGCTGATCGCCGAACCAAATAATAATGATTAAACTCTACATTACAAGTTAGACTCCATGAAAGTCATGATAAAATATTTTTGAGCAATAGCAAATGAACCTCCAGCAGCAGAAGTGACCAAAACAGCAACTATACCAAGTAAATTGTTATGATTCCAAACAAGAAGAAAGGAATTTTTTTCTGAATGGCGTTTCCATGAACATTATCAGAACTCCCCATTTAGGCCTTGTTCCAATTGGTATAGCTGGCATGGAGTTGCCACAAGCATAGGGACGCCAAAGTGTTTAAGAAACAAAGGCCGTAAGTTTTCAACACACAATCTCAGCCTATCCAGACCTCCGTCTTTATGTTTGCAAAACAAAAGAGTATAATGAAAATTTTCTATACCATTACCATATTGTATATTTGCAGACTATATCAACTTACATATGACACTGATTCAATATCTTAAATTTAAACAAATAGAACTTTGCTGTCAACTATTTGGTGTCAAATTGACAATTCACAGGTTAGTATCAAACAAAAATAGAAGGTTGCTAGTTCATTCACTTGCAATTGTTATAAATAGAAATATGAGGCTTAAGAATAAATCCATAAATAGGGCATCTGCCAATGTAAATGAGAATAACAAGCACTGGGAACCATAACAAACTATGAACATCAATGACATCAAACCTCAACAAGACTACAAAAAAAGAATGTGGAACATGATGTAATGTTGTAAACTACAAATATGAAAATAAATGACAGACGGTGGCATCATTGAGAAGTGCCTAAGGCATCTCTGACATTCTGACTTGCAGAATAATTAAATGATTGCCAGCAAGAAAAAGAAATTTTCATAAAACAAAACTGTGGAATTTGGTATTAACCTCAAAAAGTCATTTTCCAGTTTCCTAGCTTTGTTGACAAAGCCTTCCATAGCTTTAAAGAGATACTGGCCACCAATTCGCTCAGAACTTTTAACCTTTTCAGATGTCCTGGATAAAATGTGAATAGCAAAACAATATTCAGAAGCCAACTTTTCCTCCAACTAAAATCATATACATGAATATGCATATACTAAAGGAAAATATAGCACGCATCAATAGCAGACATTTGCATCTAACATTCTGATTAAAATGTACCATCACAAATGGTATTTCATATTCATTATTTGGGACGAACAAGAAGTTCTCACATGTCCGTACTGTCAACAGGCGCATGTGAATCACCACTTGCAGAGCAAGTGATCAGGCTGCATGCATCCCCTAGTGCCAACCTAGCAACATAGTATGTGACATTCTCGTAGTTTGAAGTGGCATCTGCAGAGAGCATTGCTGCTGGTGCAGGGCGAAGAAGTTGTTGCATTAACTGTGTTGTCAATATAAGTCTTCTCCTTGGTCGAACCACTGTTTGTCCATCTTCCATCATTTCAGCTTCATCTTCCATCTGCCATTAGAAACACAACATATTGAGGAATTATATTAAAGAAAACCTTAAAAAAAATCCAGTGTTAACCATTGAACTTAAACACACCTTCTCAATCAGCCGATTAGTAGCTTGTGCCCAATCTAGTTCAGATATGCTGTCAGCAATTAAACAAAATGTGTATTAAGGTATAAATATCAAGTGAAATCAAAACTCCAATCCAGGCCCCTAAGGATAAACTTATAAATCAGAAATTTTTTTTTTATCGATAACAGAAATCTTTATTAATGAATAATACTTCTAATCATAAATCGGAATGTTTTAAATAGTCATAAAAATTATTACTTAGATAAAGTTCTTATCATGACAATCACCTGATATTTTGAATCCTTTGGGAACCTTGGGTAACTTCTTTATGCCAGGATAGGAGCTCCGATGTTACACTCTTACGCTTCTTTGGCCTCACAACAGCCAGAGTTTGTTCACTGACATCTGCTGGCAAAGAATGAGAGGGAGACAAGTGCTCACTTGCAACTAAGGTAGTGCTTGTACTCTGCCAGATGCTACCAACCTGACCAGAATCAACAGCATTTGCTTGCTCTATTGAAGCATGCACAGGAAAACCTTCAGAAGGCTTTCCAAAGAAGAACTGCTGGGCAGCACTCTTTGCAGTCCTTCGTGCATCATACATTGGCAGCATCTGCCCATTTTTGAAGGTTCCATATTGCTCAAACCAGGAGGGTGCCATCTGCGGGCTAATCTGAGGATGTTCTGTTCTTGAAGATGCTATACTGAGATGGCTAGAATGGTTTTGAGAATCATTTCTACCAAATGCAACCATATCCTGAGAAGATACACGTTGGGAATTTGCATTTGCATTCTGATCTTCTCTTGCCTCTGACGAAAAACTAAGCATTTTGGTAGAGGTTGCATTAAGTTCCTTATCTATAGCATCTCTGACCATCGGATTGTATCCATACAATAATTGCTGCCCTGCCTTAGAAGCTGCTGCATGTTGAGTGTCTGGACCATAATTTGTGGGCTTAAATATCTTCATACCTCTCTTAACTGGGTCAGTCTCCACACCCTTCATGGCTTGTACTTGGTGCAGTAAGGAGTAGTTTTGGTGTAAAACATGTGAGGGTTTGAGAGAACGACCAAAAGCTTCAATTTCTCTGTTGGAAGCAGCAGGGTTTTGAAGAGGTCCATGCTCTGCTTGGGGGATTAATACTGGAGCCTTCCCATTCCTTCCCCTATCAATGTCTTGCTGGTGTGGCTGAGACAACAATGATCCAGAAGGAAGATGATTTGCATCCATGAATTGCTGAACCTTGGACTCTTGCCCTTGAGATGAAGCTGTTGTTTGTTGAACCAGTCCAACCTTATCAGAAGTTACTTGTTGCCAGGAGCTTTCTTTCCTTGGTTGATCTTCACCATGAGAAAAGCGTTGAGAATTAGAACATATACCAAATTCAGAGGAACCATACCCTCCTCTCTTGGTATCTTGCTCACCCAGTTTTTGTGGAGTCCATGAAGACTTCTCAAGATTATTATTTGAAGAGTTGACAGGCGGAAAAAAATTAGGAGAAACTTTGTGAGGTTGACCACCAGAAGAAGGTTGCTGGTTCCATACATTATGCAACATTGTTGGGTATGACTCATGTTGAGACATGCCAGGTGTGATAGAAGGCTGAGAGACGGACTTAGCCTCTGGAAATGGAATCTGTTGTCCTGAAACTCTCTGAAAGGAGTTGGTACTGATTTGTTGGGATGCATCTGCAGGAGAGGCAAGGTTAAAAGGTGGCATCCTGCCACCTGCACCAGGCAATGATGATTGAGTAGATCGATCAGATACAGTTCCATCAAGAGAGTCATCTGTCTGCATAAAACGTGAAGCAAGTCTACCCAAAGAAACATTGACAGATTGATCTTTGATCACTTCTCCACTTGCACCAGACATTAGCTGATTTTGAAGATGACTTCTAGGATATGGCAAAGATGTAAAGGCTTTAGATGAGTTCCTCTGCATATTAAAATTTGAGGTTTCATTGCCAACTTGACCTGAAACACCAGATTTATTATCCCAATGTTCCCTCTGATTCATTTCTTGAGGCAAAGATTGCACAGAACTACCAGGATCCATCCGTGCCTGGCCCTTCTCTCCAGCCTCAGCATCTCCATGCCTTGAATTAAGATCATTATCTGTTTGTGAGGAATTCTGAGGAGAGAAAGCATGGTTTGATACAGGTAGTCGTTGAGATGGTGGAGCCAACCGTAAACCGAACCCTTGAGAAGTAGAAGATTGATTGGGCTGAACATGAGAAATAGATCCATCAGAAGCTTCTGCATCAGGCATCTCAGATGATGGATCACGATCAGAAGAATCAAATTGCATCTTGGTGTTGTGCTCCCTTGATTGGTCTACCTTGTGAAGAAGTTCAAGCATATTTTGGCTGCAATTGCCGAAATCAATTAAAAGTTTACAGGTTATGGTGTGTGATAATTGCAAGATGATGGCACAAAATGTATCAAAGAAAAATAATTGAAGATAAGAAAGGAAAAAAAGGATTAACATACAAAACAATAACAAATTACTAACAACTCATCTAAATCCACTCATAAATTGAACAAAATCGACTGCTAAGTTTAGTTTAATCATTACATGATACACTTGCTAAGTTGGAAACAAATAACCATAATGTAGATTCACCGAAGAAAACAGCACTTATTATGTACAAGGATAACGGCTCATAAGCTTTAAAGTCAAACAAGAAACAGTGGCCAAATCTCAAATGTCATCTACCTTGTCTGAGCAGTCCTGTTTGGAGAGTAAAATCCAGTTAATCTATCAAAAGATGAAGATGCATTAGCTGCATAGCCAGGAAGAATTACTCTAGAAGGTACATCGTCTGGCCTTTTCATGTTTCCTTGAAAACCATGTAGCTGCCCCTACAAATCAAAGACCATTAAGATATGATAGCCAAATTAGAAAACTTGAGAAAACATAATTACCAGAATTATTCCTGATTATCAGTTCGGAAGTCCACCGCTTACCCTTTCCCTATCTGCGGCATTGTTAGAAATATGACCAACAAACTTTGACTGCCCAAAATATCCTTGCTCATGGCTTTTCAGTCCTCGAGTTACCTGCTGGGACAGCACTTGTGAATGTGTGATTTGCTTCATGGTGTCAGTAGGTTCCACATTCATCCCCAAATTTCCCATAGGATGATACTGAAACCTGCGGGCAGGTACTTTCCGACCAACCTGACCAGATGACTTTTGGTTCACCGCAACTGAAGCATGAGAATCACTTGAACTTAACCACAAATTTTCTCTGGCAGTACCTCCCATAGCAGTTTGTTGGGCTTGGTTAGAGGTATAACCATCATTAGATATATCTCTCTGGTAGCAGTTTTCTTGCTTCTTTTCATATGTTTCAACTGAGGCCTTGTCAGAGACATTCATCAATGGTTCTGAAACTCGAGGAATCTTGTTAGGTGGTGGCTGGTAGTTTCCTCCAGTCTCATTTCCTTTATATCTTGGAGAATAATCAACAATATGCTTCCCATAATCAAACTGATGGCTATTGGAGGCATGTTGATTGACTTCCTGGTTGCTTTTTGCAGCAGCTGAATTTGGTAAAGCAATAAAATTGTTCGCATGAGAATCTTCTCTGTTGATCTGTGATATACCTGCTCCAGATTTTGCATGCTCATGTCCGCCAGTCAAATTAGGAAAATGAATCCCTGTGTGATTCCCATCAGCCTTCCACATGCCACTACTATTATCCCTTTGGGGTTGCATTGTTCTCTTATTGTCATTGCCCTGTGAATGTTGTGCAGTGTTTTCATTCTCTCGGATTTTTAATGTAGCATCTCCACTGGTTGATAATGATTCGTGACCACCAATATTATATGATGGCATGCTCTGCTGATGGCTCCAAGACCCCTGAATGTTCTGAACATTTAATTCTGCCTCTGCAGAATGTATAGCAGCCCCAGACTGCTCATAAATCTGGCCAGCCCAAGAACCCTCTGAGGAATTTTCCAAATGTATAGGTGGTTGAACTTGATGATTACCATCAGCAAGTGGCTTTTGTTGAGGGCTCCGATCTAACCACTTGCAGCCTTCTTTTGGAGTCTGCTGAATTGAATCACGAGAGGAATCAGGTTGTACCCTCTCGATCTGTTCAAATGGAAATTTGATGCTTGACTGCTGAAAAACAGAAACATGATGGCTAGAGGGGCTCATATTGGCATCATTAAACAATGGAAATGGTCTTGAAGTTAAAGATGCAGCCTGTAAGTTGTGATCAACCCAACTTTGCTGCTTCCCACTGTCATTAAATGATGCCGGCTGATTTCCAGCAGACAATTCAGTCTTTTGGATATTCAAGCCACTCCACTCATCCTGTAGCCCAGTGTCACTGCTAGAAGTTTCTGCTACAGCAGATTGCATAAGGGCACTCCAGCTTCCACTTTGAACAGAAGGAAAAACATTGAAAAAATCGGGACCTTCCATTGGATTCCCCAAGCCTACTGTACCCATGTTGCCAGTTCTTCCAAAAGAAGCATCCCAGATATTGTCATCTGAATTGAACAAAATCCTCTCTTCTGTCGGATCTAGAGGAACCAAACCCTGGGAAGGACCAGCCTGTGTCGTTGCTTTTTCCTGCAAGTTTCCTGACCAACCGGCTCGCTCATGCCTCGCTTGATATTCCTGCACTGGTGCATTCCTTGGAAGGGAATGCAACTGCTGGAAGTTACCAGATATGCCTCCACTACTCAAACTTTGAGCTGGAAAATTCCCAAACAAATTCTTCCCTTGAAAACCATGTTTTGAAACCGAATTGCCATCCTGCATGCATCCCTGATTTGTGAATACATCACCCTGAAAAGTGTTACTAAAGGCTGATGTCTGCACTCCAGGTTTCTCTACTATGTTACCACCTGCCTTGGTGAAAATATCAGCAGAATCATGAGAGACACCTTGGAGATTAGAATATTGACTACAATTTCCTCTTGAGCTAGCAATGGGAGTTCCATACAGAGATTGGTCAGGCTGTTGAGGAACAAACCCCATTGAACGTAGACCCTGACCTTGCTCATTTGAGAACATCAGTCCATTAGAAAATCCTTGCAGAGAAGGAGATCCACTGCGTTGCACCATGTTAATATTATTAGCCATAAACATCTGAGGTGTACTTGATGCTACTTTGGATTCACCCCCCATAAGCTCATTTGTCCATGAGTAATTAGAGGGATCATGAACAGGAGTTCCATTGATCAGGGCTGGCAACTGATCAGCAGATGACTGTTTCATGGAATTCTGTTGCCTGGCTTCATCAACATGCTGAAGCTGTTGCTGCCTCTGAAGTTCTTGCAGTTGCTTCAACATGATACGCTGTTGCCATAACTGTATGTCATTAAAACCAGGCTGCTGCCTCGGTCGAGGTTGAGGCACGCCTGGTTGTTGCCCCCTCATGAGCTGCTGTTGACCACCGAGAAAATCAAAATTAATAGGAGCTTCAGCAGTTTCCAACCGTTCTGAACTTCTGGTTACAGCAGAACTTTGTTCAGGAGCATTCCCTCCCTGTGATTCAAGGGTAAATAAGCCTCTTGATGCTAAACTATGCCGATCTGACACTGTATCCTCTCCTTGAAACCTTTTCTGATTCCTTCCATGGAAACCCTGATGTCCATGCACAAAGCCATTCAGCCTCAACTGCTGCCTTTTAGAAAGATCAGACTGAAGAGTTAATTGTGTAAAATTAGTGCCGAGTGGCAAACCAAAAGACTCCTTGATGTTTCCACTCTCAGAATCTGCAATTAGCAATGAAAATAAACAAAAACAATAAAAAACTATGGGCATAGAAATATGTGAATCTCCACTTCAATCTTTGAAATTTGTTCAGAGGATTTTTTTTTTGTGAGATAGAGAACAAATTAACAGATAATGCAAATCTGAACAAGTCTAAAAAGCCTGTCAAAAACATATTGAACTGAAGAGAAAAAGTGGAGAAACTAATGAAGCATGTGACAACAACCACTGACATTACCAATATCAATGGTATAGTGGTACCTGATTGTTGTACGTTAAAGTTCTTTAAATTTGAAATCGGAGGTGTCTCAACCAGCCTCTGGTGTCCACCCTGTGAATTGTTGTTCAGAACTGTCCAATTTCCACTTCCAGCCTGGGATTGATGTTGTCCCTGTGATAAATTATCTTGCTCCAAGAAATTACGGACTTTGTCTGTGATTCCATCTCCAAGCATAGATAACCCAGATTACAAATTTTCGCAGTTGATACTTCTGCCAGGATAAAACTACCTTAAAGGTAGATAAGGTGAAGTTCAAGCCTTTCTTGTTCCCATAATTCTAGCAAAGGGCAAAAGGTGAGGCTGCAATAACATATGCTCTATGGCTTACTGCTTTTCCATACGGATTAATGTAAATTGCAAGTGCCATGCTCCCAATCCTCAAAACCTCATCCTGGATAAGTAAGGTCAGATAATCAATAACAAACAAATACTACTTGACACAAGCATATATTCTACAAGGTCATATCATGGCAAGATGGCAAAAAATTACAACGATCATATACTGTATTATTGCGAGCTCTTTTGCTTGTTTGGTGACAGAAATCGATGGAAAAATTGATGGTTCAAAGGTTATTTGAACATCTTTCAATTTTGTTTTTGTTTGATAAATCATAAGTACTAATTCATGCTTCAATAACATTTTTTATGGATTGCCTTTTCAGTGATATACCAACTAGAACTATATAAACATGGTCATGTGCTGGGTTATAGGTATCAAGGTCACCGTGCCAGACACCTTTTCTTCTGTGCAACAACTGGGTTAGGTATCATGGTCATGTCAACAACTGTCAACTCCTAATAAACAGTAAAGAAAAAAAAGTGAACCTACCATTAAGGATAGTTGGCACATGCTTCTTCATGGAATTATATCTGACCAAAAGCTCCAAGATAAAGCCTGCATGCAATGTGAAGAAATCCTCTTAACAAGGAAAAAAAGAACTGTTTTCAAGTTACATTAGCAAATCCAAGATGTTGCTGTAAAAAGAAAAAGGAAAGGAAAATAGGGGCCAAAATGGAAAATGAAAATGAAGCAATGGGTAATTATCTTTTCAATCATTATTTTTACCTCCTTCCCTCCCCATTGATCAAAGTGATGATGACAGTTATGAAAATCTAGATATCCAAAGGGAGTTTTCAATTGTTCATGTACCGAGGTCATCATCTTGAAATAACTACAAGCATAGATTATAAAACCCAAAAAAACAGAAATTGCCATGATAAAATGATGAAAATAAGAGGATATAAATGCATGCCTGCAAGGATGGACTGCCAGATTGGCACACAGAAGCGTATGGGAGCAAAACCATGCAAAGCAAGGCAAAAGCTTGGCCACATGCTACCCAAACAGAAATGCACCCTGAGGAGTTTTAGTGGAAAAAATAAATTTGCAAAATATCAAGTTCAGGGAGTGCTTTTATCTTCGCGTGGTAGAGGAACCTCTTCAAGTTTGAAATATCAGGCTTGAGGCTTGTTGACAGAGTTCAAAGCCCATAAATCATCACAAAATATTGATTTATGGACTTAGTTACGCTTGCTTCTGTAGTTTACTATTCGTACTAGAGAACTGGGAAGTGGAAACGTGGTGTCAAGCATTTACATGGTTATCCCCATAAGTAGTAATCAATGAAACTATGTAACAACAGCTAATTTTCTATGGTTGTTTTATCAGAATTTGAGAGGCAAACGTTTTAGGAATAAGAAATCCCGTGAGGGAAATGAGAATCTTAACAGACAGTTGTCCCTTTTCACATTTTATCCCATCAAAATGGCAACATCCATATAAATAATACAGAAAGATGAACTCTATAAGTCACATAGAAGGCATCTTAATAAACGTGAGCTTGATGGGTACAGATTTTTTTTT